CTTCTTTAGAAAGAAAATTTTAATAAAATTGGTTTGGAACTGAAATTTATCTAGCGGAGTGTCTATTTTTCCTTTAATAGGACAAATAAAAAATAAATTTGGTATTTGGGCATCTTAACGCGGGCGGAGCCGCGGTCAATGCTAGTTTTAAATAAATATGGTATTGTTTAATCTTAACAGATAAATAAAATTGAAGTGTCTGTAATGTCAAAATAACAGCTTTTTACTAATAAGTTATACCTATATGTTTGGAACTTATATAAAAAAAAACAATTTTTAAAATTTTTGACTGTTTCTCTGTCTGTTTGTGTATTTCAGCTAATCTCTGAAACGGCTGGACTGATTTTGACGAGACTTTCATTGGCAGATACTTAGCTGATATTATAAGGAGTAACTTAGGCTACTTGTATAAAAAAAAATAACGTACTCGAGCGAATCGATGGTAAGTCGCTAGTTAAAACTAAAAAAAAATGATTTTCCGACTTAGGAAATTTCTCCGACAGTGTAGTTTGGCCAATATTACCTACCAATAAGGAGTCGCATGTTTCACATCACAAATTTGAAATTATGTGAATAAAGCCATTTGGATAATTTGCCTTACCCTCAGGTTTTCAGATCCTTGCTCTTAAGATCAACTATTCCCTGCTAATTGTTTGACATCTGTCTTAATATAAATCAAAGAACATTAATCTGTCTTGTTTAACTAAAAGTTGCAACGACGCCGCTCTCACTCTATGTATTTACGTACGCTAATTACCTACTGGCCGGTGGGCTGGTACGGCGCCTTAAGATAGAACAATCTAAACATTCAATCAAATTTCTATACATGCCCACTCAATATGTGTTCGCCTTGTCGTGGTGAGGAGGCTCATTAGTGTCCAGCAATCCAACCGGGCGTGAGTGGGCGTGGTTCCGTTGGGTTTTAGTTACTTTTCTAGCCTTATCAAATCTTCCTGTAACTCTTAGAAGCTGGGCAATCATAAAAAAATAACAGCGTGGAGACGCAGACCCAAGCTAGTATTGAATAGAGATTAGATTTAAGATAATACTTTTAACGGGACATCTAATCTTTCAAGTGTTCTACCTACAAACAATGTCGCACATCATCCTACGGTTTGGCCTAGAAAAGCTGTGATAAATACTCAATTTCATAACTCACATAAGTGACTATACTTATTTGGATAACATTTTAAGTGCATATGGTAGCATTTGCTTGTACTTAATACGTACTACATAGATAAGAAAATATTATAAATATGAAAGTCAAATCCCGGGTCTCGCACCTCTGATATTTTCATCTGCGAATCATTTCCAACATGATTAACACTTTTAAATAAAACTATCTTTTCGGATTTTGTCGCGGATTTATTTGGATTTTTGTTTCCCGACGTTTCGAATGCTTTACAATGTCTCTCCCGTGACCATGGATGCTGTAAAGCATTCGAAACGTCGGGAAACAAAAATCCAAATAAATCCGCGACAAAATCCGAAAAGATAGTTTTATTTAAAATGTCAAATATTCGCGTAAATCTAAGAAAGTATTATGATTAACACTTGTCATAACGGTGAAGCAAAAGGTCAACTTTTTTGAGCAGTCTCGGAAAAATATGAACGAGGTGATTTTTGAAAAAAATCAAGTTATGCTTGCTAAATTGCAAAACTAATAAACAATTATCTAAAAATAAAAAAGGGGGTTTAAATTTTGCAAATATCGCAAAAACTAATTGAAATTTTTCAAATCTTTCAAATCAAAAGAAAGATTCAAAAAGAGGAGGAAATTTCCTAAAAAAGTCTCTACTCCCGGAACTGTAGGACAAATATTTATAATTTTTCATAGGGATAAAAATACGGCGATAAACGTTTGCTCTGGCTTGCGCAAGCCACGCCTACTTCGGAGACTATCAATAAAGATTATTTTAACATATTAAATATAAAATTTAAGAAATGAAAAATTCAAGGACTAGATAGATAAATAAAAAAATATAAAAACGACAATACTAATTATTTTTTAAATTATTTATTATTAATATTATAATATTACAATAATTTTGCCATCCACATTCTACATATACGATATAGCATACTTCATATTCGCAACAATTTCAACTAAAACTAGCAACTTTATCGCACTCAGTTACCAACAAAACAATATTTTATAATATTATAAGACGAGAGAAGTATACGAGTGGGTTACACTGAAAAATGTGACATACTCATATATTTGAAAGAGGCAAGCAGAAGTGTTCTCAAATTGCATTCTAGCACGATTAATTACTTTGTATTAGGAATAAAACACAATTTAAATAATAAAACTAGAGATACTTGCACAAAATGCCTATTTTAATTTATATGTCTTATAAACTTAACAAAACATAAAACAATACATACACTTCATTTAACGTTTACTAACATATTCAAGACATATAAAATAATTAAGATTTCAAGAGTGCCTCTTTAAATATTGTAATTTTCTTTTTTATTTTCTATTAGATATTTGGTAATAATGCAAGTATTACATGTAGTTATTATTTTTGTATTTGAATTACCAAGGAATTTCATTATTTGGGTTAAGGTAACAAATACTTTATATCAAAAATTATAATATTCGCTAGGCAAGTGTCATTGTCTTCGTGATAAGACAATATGTAAATATATGAACGAATTGAATGTTTAAAATTAAGTTAATGATTAAAACAAAATAAAATATATTAAATACAATTTTATTATGAACGAATAAGTTTTGATACTTTTGTTACGTTTCTTAAACACGATTCGTAACCAATCGCTGTTTGAATAAAGCAATTTTACATTTCGCGACATTCGCTTGCATGAAAAGACTTGAACTTATCAAGTGCATTGAAAATACGTTATCAATATTCCAATTATTCGTGTCAAAATTTTACCTCAGCTGCTAAACCTTTGTTAAATGATACCTAGTTTTAACTATAACATTAGTTAAACTTTACTTATTGGTAAATCACCGTGAACATGGAAGGCACATACAAAAAATGTACATTTGTGTTTAAAAGTTTTATTGATAAATAAGACGAACCGCAAAAACACATCCTACAACAACTCACATGTGAACATTACAATGGGCCAAGGCATATATTTACTCTAGTATAAAGACGCCATACAATCTATATTAAAGTACAATTACGAATACCTTTTGTACAAAACCATCCGACCTAATTGCCAGCCCATACGGCCATGACTGCGCAGCTACCAGTGATTCTGACAAAGTTACCTCCACTCAACGGAGACCATATTATTGTCCTATGAATATTGATGCGAATTTATAAAAATATAAATTTTAACTTCGTAAATAGTTGCCGTCGTAAGAGATACCTCTCACTATTTTATTGCTTCAAAGATTTGTTCTCTAGATCATATTCTAGCTAGAACTTGGTGTTTACACAAGATATACAAGGTGTGGAAGCAAGTGGGTCTGTTGCCGATACTAAACGGTCTTTTCGAATAAGCAAATAATAATAAAACTTTTACAATATTTCATTTAACAAGTAGACATATAAAATTACAGAGAGTAGCTGTATCATAGATCTCAGATAGATATGTGTTTTCAGTATAAGGCCATACAAGTGTGCAAGTAAATAGTACTATATTATAAGTTAAATTGAGAGTACTTAAGCTTATGTATTCCATAGGAATACCTAGTCTCTGGAAGCGCCATATTTGTTTAAATCTATTTAATGAACACTCAATCGCTACTCTCCATATGCAACACTTCAAAAAATTATTAGAAGGCACAATATCATTGACACCTTCACAAATAACCCATAGTAATTGAAATTTCATAATTTAATTACAAAACAAAAAAAATATTATATAAGTATCATTATTTCAATGAAGGTGAATAAAAACACAATAGATCCGTATAATATCGGCAATAAGGTACAATAATATTTACTCAACTAGCGTTTCCACTACTTCAAACATTATAGGAAAGAGCACAAAATCGACAGCTTTATACATTACATACATCCTATTATTGCAGGCGAATACGGCATTGTTGTGCGAGATTCAAAGTACATGCTAAAGATAATTGTTTACATATTAAGTACTGGTACAATTCGCTAGCTGTTTTAAGAATTATTCTAATTTACTATTTAATGTTACTGTACATGATTGTGACGTCATGAGAGTTTCCAGGCACTAGTTAAGGAACTGCCTCCATTAAACGATGGGACTATAATCGCCATAGAATATGTCATATTAAAGGTAAACTATGTTAAGTAACGGCAGATGACTATCGTATGTAAGTAAAACACATCCACAACACACTATGTGGACGGTCGATTTTTGTAGATGAATGTATTAATTTGACATACTCTATATAGGGCTCAACGCAAAAGTTGGCTAACGTACAGAAAGACAACAAGTGACATTTAACATGGTATATATATATCTTATTTATTATTATTTATATCTTATTATATATATATATATATATATATATATATATATATATATATATATATATTACTTGAGAAATAAATGTCTTAATCCCTCCACGACCGCGGACAAGCCGGCGTTACAGTTAACAATTATAGATTTTCTTAGAAATTTACCTGGAGGTGTTACAACCATTATTTATATAGAATTACGAATATAATTAACGACAATAAATTACAATAAAACAGTAAAATATACCATTTTAAATACAATCAAAAATGTATGTTAGGCCACTCTTGCGATGAAAGCCAGATTACTATATATAGCTACAGTATCAATAATGCATATAATATAATTCTATTGGTTGTACACAGTGTCTAAGTAGACGAACGCTGCACAAACCATCACTTCGCACGATTGACAATTAGGACGAGGCCAGACCGGTGTGTTAAATAAAAACGAAATTTCCAAAGAATGTGTATAATACTATATCTTAAATGTATTAGCACTTTAGGAAATACACACTTTATGATCGTAATAGTAATATAAAATAAAAAATCTAAATTACACTTAAACAATAAACATTAATCGATTAAATCCGCATCGTCCGACAAGTCCTGGAAAGAATGAATGATTATGGTGAGTTCTAATATACCATCATACACGTAGTTCATGGAAATAAAAATGTAATCGCTCAATAAAAAATAATTTGAATTGTTGACAAAAGAAAGGGTTTTTATATGGAGTAGGTTTTTATGCTATCTATTTGGCTGCACATTCCCAATAGATAGCTCAAAGGCAAATTAATAATATTATTTACCAATAAGGGTGAACTAAGCAAATGAAATTTCTAAAATATATGGAATAAGAAGTTAAAATCAAACTCAATTAAAACGAATTTACGTTATGTTTTAGTTATGGGGCTATAACACTGTAAACATCTCAACTCTGCCTTACCAGTAAGAATTTCTTAACAATTCCGACATTTTTTATTCCGACAGGGAACTCGAACCCAGGACTTCATTATCACTGTCCGATAAAAAGTAAGCATGACTCAGACTAAAAAATTATATAGATGGAATCCATCAAAATAAATGTCAAAGTCAATAATAATAGCGTGATTTGCTGTTTATGCTACTATACTGTTCTCGATTTTGCCATACATATTATTTACTTTCTTTAAAGAATAAGAAACATTTTATATATGTATTAGTTTAATTTTTTTTTTTGAATAAAATGAATTATAAAAATAATATTATAATCTTTTTTATTTTTTTAAGTATTAGTTCTCTTCCCTTGAAACAGAGATAGCATAATATTAGTTTTTGTTTTACTTATCACTCAGTATGATGATGATGATGATGATGTTCTCCTGACCGATTCCGGCCACGGTGGCCAATCACATTGAGACTAACCAACTGCGCGGGAGATATTATAGTGCACAAGTGTACGCGCAGACATAACGTGCACTCTCTATTCCTGTCACTCTCATACTCCGGTGGGACGACTGCTCGACACGACCGGTGAGAGTTAAGGCATAGGACCGACGGCTTTACGTGCTCTCCGAGACACGGGGGTGAAACACCGCCAACTTCCCAACTCCGGGCTGTTACTGAGACTTATTATACAGAAAGACTCAATAACTAAATTTGGCCCGACACGGGACTCGAACCCAGGGCCTCCGGGTGTGCAGCCGTACATACTAGCCACTACACCACCGAGGCAGTTCAATCACTCAGTATACAAATTGTCGTTTGTGTACGTACTATTTTAAAACATTAGTGTTTGCCTTATATTTAGTTCTGAAACTGTCTATCTATATTATTCCTTAGTCTGAGGCATGACAGTCAGTAGCATGAGCACATAGAAGCCTGGAAGCCTTCGTTGGACGACTGTATGAAATAATGGACTGTAGACTTATTGCATAAGAAGTATTATATAATATAAATAAATATATAGATATAATTAAAATCTCAACCCACCAGGTCGTTAATGTTTTCTCCCAACACAATATCGTCTATTTCACGTTCCAACTCGTCCATTATGTCGAGCGAGTCCTTGCGCTTGGGCTCCGGGGACTCGGTACTGTCTAGTATCGCGTATGTTCTTGATGTACTGAAAATCAAACGTTATGAGTATAAGTAACGTTCTCCTGACCGATTTCGGTCTCTCTCTCTCTCTCTCTCTGAGATATTGTAGTGCGAACACAAGTACAATCTCTACTCCTCTCACTCTAGCACTTAAGAGACCAGACGGCTTCACGTGACCTACCTTAGTAAGGGAGTTAAATCAACTCTTGGCTGTTTGTTACTGAGCATTATTACTATCAGAAATACTCAATAACTAAACTTCGACTGACCCGAGACTAGAATCCAAGACTTCCAGATCTGAAGATACGCTTAGGAATAAATAGGCTGTCTGGTGAAGTATTAACTTCACACAAAATAACAACATATAGTGGGAAAATTACTTTTCTTTAATAAGGAGAACGTAGTTTACTTTCTGAATTTTTCTTCCCTACCAATTTTTTTTATATTTATTATGGAAGACATTTAACACACAAAACAATATTAATTGTACTTTATAGACATAACTCAAAATAAAAATCCATCATTTCTAATCTTTTTTTTATTTATATGGGTTAAAGTTACCTTTGGACTGGTGTAACTTCCCACAGGCCCCTGCTCTCTATGTCCGCTTTCTCTTGGGCCAGGTCTCTCTCAATGTTGCATATCTTGGAGTTTTCTGGAAGGTTCTCCAGCTTGGAGTGATATGAAAAGCTGAATTCGCGCTGGAATCTCTCTAATACTAAGGACTCCTGTGGATTATTAATTTTGGTCAGATACATTGTTACAAAATATTATAAAATGTTTCAATGGCATGTTTTTATTTATTTAAATTCACATATATTATAAATTAAATAAAACTCGACAACTCAAGTTGGAATCATATAGACAGAATGTCATAGAACAAAATATGACGCGAAACTTTAATGTTTTAAAATAGTATACAAATTACAATTTGTATACTGAATGATAATTAAATAAATTTTAATAGATAAAAAAAAGCTTACGGATTTTATTATAAAAAAATATACTAATTAAAAGGACAAATACTTAAAAATATCAAATCAAAACACTCAACTATTTTTGATATTTACTTTAGTGATATATATAATTCTTTAGTCTAAGGATTTGAATTACAAACTTTTAAGAATAGCATTTAAGAAAAAAAACCCTATTTATCATTTTTACATAGTATAAAATGAAGTCGTTTCCGCTGTCTGTTCGCTTAGATCTTTTATATTACTCAACGGATTTTAATGCAATTTTCAGCAATAGATCGAGTGATTTAAGAGCAAAGTTTATATGTATAAAACATTGATTTGTATTTCATACGATTACCGTTAAAATATACCTAGGGACGAACCCGAGCGAAGCGGGGGATGAGTCGCTAGTATAAATATAAAACACACTCACTGTAAACTCCGGGAACAAATTCTCATACTGCTGCGGGTCAGCGAGCGATTGGCCGGACTTCTTGTTGGTGGCACCGACAGCTTCCCGCCATTGCTTCACCACTTCACTCATTTTAGACGGAATGTACGATCTGGTAGACACATGTGTTATGTTTTATTTTTCTTATACTTTAAAATAATTTAGATCAATTGCCTAACGTTGTCATATTATGTTTTTATTTTATATTCAGGTACTTTAGAATAATTAAGGTCAGTTGTCCGGCCCTTCTCATATAAATTTCATATATATTATTTAGATTATAATTAATTCTCATAAAAAATATTTCAAAGGAACGACAGTCAGTCAGTTTGTATTGTATACACAATACATATATATATATATATATATATATAATTAACTCTCATACCTGGCAAAGAAGGCGGCTTCAGGCAGTTTATTACGTTTGATAAGTAATTCCAGGCACTCATTAAGATTGTTCAGTGTGAAGTACGAGGCAAACGCTATATTATCTTCTCCCTCGGCCGCGGACATGCGGGCTACTTCTTCTAGCAGCGCCTTGTCACCTAGACAGAGATAGCAATAGTTTGAATTGACCATCTTTTAACAAAACAACATTCTTTGTCCTTATTAGTTCAGTCGCTCTTTAGATTACTCTTAAAAGTACATCTAATGAAATTTAAAGTATCAGATTAAATACTTAAAATCTTTTAATTTCTAAACAAAGCATAGAATATAAAAAAAATTATCACCACCAGCAATAAAAAACCGTATAAACCAATCTCTCCACAAACATACCTGTGCTAACAGCAAACAGTAGCAATGCACTGAAATCCCTAGCGTTCTGATAGCATATTTTGGTTAGATCTGTGTCTGCTGCGATGGCTGCTGCTGCTCCAAGTCTTGACCACCTTGCTGCTGAGGACCTGGAGACTCCTTCCACTCCCTCCACTCCCTCCGCCAGGGCTGCCTCCTCAGCCAACTGCTTAGCCCTGTTCAGCTCACCGAGGGACAGAGCCAACTCGAACTGGTGTTCTGGTTCCGTTGACACCGCCAGGGCTTGTTGTTTGAATCCCTGATTGAGAAATATATCGGTTTAAATATACATTCAATATTTTTTTTATTCTTCATAGAAATATTGTGATTAATTACTTAGAAAAAAATGTACAAAAATAAAAATATAACTCATGGTAATTATTTAATCATACTATACCAAAAGACTGAAATTTAATTAGTATATTAATGTGACAAAGTCTTTTGTTGTGCCAATAGGAAAATCATATCATAATAGTTAGTCAATACAGTATTATTGCTGGCAAAGTTTTAAGGAACTAACTTTTAAATTTAATATTATTACTTTTCAATGGACTTAATGAAACGAAATACTACATCTTGAAAAATATCAAAATAAAATCTCCTCGTGTATATAGAATTATCATCTATATATTTATAAAATTGATATATAACTATGCATAAATGACTATCTTATCCTGAGTTTAAGCTATACTATACTCAAGGCGGTGGTAGCCCAGTGGTAACGCGCTCGTTTGGGAAACCGAGTAAAGCCGGTTCAAATCCCGGGTCTCGCAACTCTGATATTTTCATGTGCGAATCATTTCCTTACGGTGCTAATCACTTGCCTTACGGTGGAAGAAAACATCGTGAAGAAATCTGCATGTCTGAGAGAATCTAGCTAGTTTTTGAAAGACATGTGAAGTCCGCAAACGCGCACTTGGCCAGCGTGGTGGACTATGGTTTGATACTCTTGTATTGAAGGGAGGCCCAAGCCCAGCAGTGGGACGTTAAAAAAGGGATGAATACAAGCTATACTCCTGTCAAATTTAATCAAAATCCGTTTAGTAGATTTTGCCTGAAAGAGTCACAAACATCCAAACATCCTCACAAACACTAAGTTCATAATAACAGTTATATTCACCTGTTTCTCAAGGAAATGGGCCACTCTAGTCCTGTGGTCGTGCGGCACGGTGGGCAGCACCCGGTCGGCCGTCTCGAAGTCGCCTCGCATCACCGCCGTCTGGTACTCCAGTACGGGCAGAAGTAAGGAATACGAGACGATGTTCAGCTCTTTGTCGTTTAGGTATAACCTGTGGATATTGGGTTTTAAAATACCAAAAAAAATCTATGCGTTTCTATTTGAACACAACATTCTATAATAGAAGATAAATAAATTCGAAATAATAATAATAATATTACAGTTCATATATAGTAAAATAAAAACAATTTAAACCAAAATCAATATTCACATCAATATAAAATGTATGTTTCACTGATATTTTAAAATTTAAAAAATATATGGATACATATATAAGCTAGGGGGGGTGAAGTTAGTATTCGGTATGGGTGGGGGCGCTAAGACCCGAGCTTAGTGTCTTCTATAAAAAGCCCGTCTTCTGACTGCAGTGCTCTGATGGTGGAGTACAAGTATGCAGGTACCAACCAGTCCGATCTGTCCACGTCCCCGTCGTACCCCCTGGGACCTTCTGCGCCCGTACTCTAAGTACGATCACCATCCCTTTCTCAGAGCGCAGATGCTAAGGACAAAGGGCGAAGGCGAGCAACCGGCGCCTTAAAACTGGTTCAACCTCGGAAGGGACGATACCCGAAAATAAACGGAGCTAGGTCTTGAGCTCAAAAGTGGCAGCCCCACTAAAGGCCTAGGACGCAGGGGGTTAATCACCCACTCGTCTGAACACAAACGATTGTGAAAGGAAAAGCAAAACTTACGGACCGGATTTTAAACCAACGACCTGGCTACTCAATAATGGCTAACGAATTTACCTTATGTACATGGAACGTGAGAACACTGTACAGACCAGCGGGCTTTCAACTTTTATGTCAACAACTTGCAAATCACAGGGCTGATATAACAGCGGTTCAGGAACTTAGATGGTTAGGACATGGCGTTATTGATAAACCAGATTTCGCCATATATTATAGTTGTAATGAAAAGCATCATATCTTTGGAACGGGTTTCGTCGTGAGCAAACGCTTAAAACATCTTGTAATTGATTTCCAACCAATTAATGAACGTATGTGTAAAATCAGACTTAAAGGTAAATTTCAAAATTACACAATCATTAATGTGCACGCTCCGACGGAAGATACTGGCCTAGAAGAGAAGGAAAGGTGGTATTCCGATGTGGAAAGCGTATATTCTAAATCTCCCAAAGGTGACATCAAGATTATAATTGGGGATATGAATGCAAAGGTGGGAAGAGAAAGTATATATCGGCCAACGATAGGCTCCCACAGCCTACACGAAACATCTAACGACAATGGCACACGCCTCATTGATTTGGCAACTTCCCTAGGAATGGTCGTCGGCAGCACACGCTTTCCACACAAGAATATCCATAAGATAACTTGGGTCTCCGAAGATAACGTCACCCGAAACCAAATAGACCATATTTTGATAGACGGGAGACACTGCTCTAATCTTTTGGATGTCAGAAGCCGTAGAGGAGCAAACATCGACTCCGATCACCATCTTGTTGTATGCAAAATAAGAGCACGAATATCACGGTACAAGTACACCAAAACGGTAAGAACGAAAAAGATTGACACAACAAGGCTGAAGAGAGAGCAGGATGTCAAGTACAAATATATGGACACAGTTCACAGAGAACTTATGAAAGTGGGCGAAAGAAATAGCAACAGCATTGGCGATTCTGATAGTACCTGGCGGAATCTTAGGGATGTTTTATCTACGGCTGCTGGTGAGATTTTGGGATTTGAGGAAAAACTGAAGCGTAATTACTGGTTTGATGATGAATGTCAGAGGGTCACTAATGAGAAAAATGATGCGTACAGTTTAATGCAACAGAAGTACACTCGCAGGCGTAGAGAAGAGTATAAGGAGCGAAGAAGACGGGAAAAACACCTACATAAGAAAAAGAAAAGATTGCGCGAGGAACAACAACTACGTGAGATTGCATCTAGTTACACACAAAAGGAAACTAGAAACTTCTACAACCAAGTAAATAGGGGACGGAAAGAATTCAAACCCAGAACCACGGCTTGTAGAAGTAAGAATGGACAGCTACTTAATGATAAAGATGAGATCGTTCAGAGATGGGCTGAATACTTTCGTGAACTCCTTAACAGTTCAGTGCAGACCCGTCCACTTTCTGTACCAGTACCTGAAGGTCTATTAAATAATCAACAAACTGATGAATCTTTGTACCCCACTATAGAAGATACTATACGAGCAATTCAATCCATTAAAAATAACAAATCTCCGGGAATGGACGATATCCAAGGGGAGCTTATAAAGTATGCCGGAACTGGTTTCGAGAAGGAGTTTCACCACCTGGTGCTCCAAATTTGGAACTATGAAAAAATGCCTGATGATTGGAATACATCTGTTATCTGCCCCCTACATAAGAAAGGCGACATATTGGAGTGCAATAATTACCGAGGCATATCTCTCTTGAACACCGGTTATAAAGTTTTTGCCAATGTGCTTTTTAATAAACTAAAGCCATATGTAGAATCCAGCTTGGGGGAGTATCAGTGTGGGTTCCGTCCAAACAGGTCCACAGTAGACCAAATCTTCTCGCTTAGGCAGATCCTTGAAAAAACGTTTGAGTACAACGTGAACACTCACCATCTTTTCGTAGATTTTAAGGCTGCCTATGACAATGTGCACAGAGGTTTCCTGTACCAGGCTATGATGGAGATTGGCATCCCAACAAAACTCGTGCGCCTGACGGAGATGACTCTTAGAAACTCTCAGAGCGTTGTTAGAGTTCAAACAAGCGTATCGGAACCCTTCAGAACCAATGACGGCTTAAGACAAGGGGATGCGCTCTCGTGCCTACTGTTCAACATCGTTCTCGACAAGTGTATTCGCGACTCAAAGATCGAGACCAAAGGCACTATCTACCACAAATCCGTTCAAATTCTAGGGTATGCAGATGACCTCGACGTAATAGGTAGATCTCTACCTGCAATGGAGAGTGCATGTACCTGCAATGGAGAGTGCACCTTGCGCTTGAAAAATCAGCTGCGGAGGCCGGTCTCCAAGTTAACATGGCTAAGACTAAGTACCTGAAAGCGTCAAAAGACCAGCAAACTCTACCACAAGGAGTTAATATTGGCAACAACACCTTCGCTAGCGTCAATGATTTCGTATACCTGGGATCCTTAGTAACCGATAACAACGATGTGTCTTCAGAAATAAGTAGGAGAATAATGGCGGCTAACAAGTGCTACTTCGGACTACTAAGATACTTTCGTTCGAAACTTCTTTCAAGAAGCATAAAACTTCTTTTGTACAAAACCTTACTAAGACCCATACTCACCTACAGTTCCGAATGTTGGGTGCTGAGCAAAAATGACGAAAATTCCTTGTTGGTATTTGAGCGGAAAATACTAAGACGCATTTTCGGAGCTGTGATGGAAAATGAGAGATGGCGAACGCGTTATAACCACGAGCTATACCAAATGTACGATGAGCCAAACGTAATTAAGACCATAAAGATCGGGCGCCTGCGTTGGGCAGGGCACGTGTTGCGAATGGACGAGGCCAGAGTACCCAAGCGCCTTTTAGAAGGCCGACCGGAGGGCCGCAGAAGTAGAGGCAGACCCAAGCTCAGATGGTTGGACGGCGTCGAACAAGATATCAAGATCTTGGGAGTAACAAGTTGGAGAAGGAAAGCCTATAACAGATCGGACTGGAGAGCTTTGCTGGACCAGGCTAAGGCCCACCCGGGGCTGTAATGCCTCAGATGATGATGATATAAGCTAGGATTACCAAAAAAATACCATTGATACAGTGACCTAACTAAACTCCGACCAGTCTGCTCATTACTCATTTTCAGTAACGACTTTACATATCATTTAATAAAATATACTGTAACAACACTCAATTTGTCGTCGTTGAGGTAAAAATATCCAAATAGCATTCAATTATTATACCATTTTATATACGCTTACTACGTATTGCTGCTTCACACTTCACTCAAACCAATAAATCATCTAAATGGTATTTAGACATTTTCTATTTTGTATATGGGTAATAATTGAATTTAAGTTGAATTTACAATGTATTTAATTAAAACGGATTTTATTCACTAAAATACTAGTTTTTTTTAGTCTAAATAATTGTAGTTTCAAAATATTAAAAAAAACATGCTTATAAATGATTCTAATGTATGAGACTCATAAAGATGGAAGTTTTACTAGTAGCCACTGCAGACTTCCACTAGGTTAAAACTGTGGTTTTATCATCATTTTTTTTATGAGGTATCAAATAAATACGTGTAGAAGTAGGTAAAATCTTCTTCTAAAATTTGTTTACGTAGTTGGCATAATAGCTAAATGCAAAGAAACTATAAATAAAAAACATTTCTTACCTATTTTCCTTAGCAACATAACCTAGAATGTACATAGTGTGATCGAGATGTGATATGGTCACAATCTCTCCGCCGACGTAGTAGTTTATCCTGTTCACAGAGTTGGTGTAGATGAAGCAGTCACCCACCCATAGACCAGTCTTCACCGTTTCATTTACTTCTCCTACAACCTAAATGGATTGTAAAAAGAAAATTTAGTTTTTGGATCATAATAATTTATTTTTGATTAGGTTTTCAGCAGCGGCTTCAAAATCACGTTCAAACTTTTTACACACTTTGAGGTGGAGTTGTTTTTGAAATAAATACATTTTCTTTTTTCGGCCAAAAGTAATTAAGTAGTTTAAGTAACTCATTTAAATGTAGTTTAAACTCTTCACTTAGAAAGATTCTTAGTACATAGTATCTGTTGACTGTGACCATCATTGATGAAAAGCATTCGAAACGTCAGGAAAATCAAACTAAAACCGCGTAAACAATAAGAAAAAAAAAGGTTTCAAGGTAGGGAAAAAGTAATTCGTTTTTTCGCTCAATTCATGTGTTTAAGTAATTAGGAAACCTAAATGATGTCTTTTAGAGAAAATAAAGAGTCAAATGACAATTTTTAACACTCACTATATATCAATATGATATTGTGATATATTTAAAAATGTGTATAAGGAAAAAGGCGAAAGATGTAAGCAATATCGCAAGAGGTAAAAGCATTGAGTACATTAATCACTATACTAATTTCATTGCAGCTTGACATTGTAGGGTAACATTAGTCAAACCGTTTCTTTTCGCTTATGAAGGTTCCTATGATTTACTAACACGGCGTAATATTTCTGCACTAACCTAAATATTATGAGCGTGAATGATTGATAAATGTAGTGAACTAATTTTTTTTTAAAAGTAACTATTTTCAAAAATTACAAAAAGCCCATACGATATATTATGTAACACATTGATATACAAAAAAACAAGATACACAATCAGCGTTTCAAAAGTTTCCTCAAAAAGGAGCGCAAAATTTGAAATTGCACATTCTTTTCAAATAGACTCGAGTTGTGTGAGCTGAACAATAAGCAAAACAAAGCCGAAATGTCAAAAATTCGTACAAATATTTAAAAATGTTGCCTATGGTACTGACAAATGTTATCCGCACCATGTATAATAAAAATATTAAAAATACTTTGTAAACATATCTGTAAGTTACACGATATGCGTCATACGTGTATTATCTCATTTTTATCGGTAAGCTTTTAACTATCCGCTACAACTTGCTTGGGACGAGTTAATTAATGGTGACTTCAGATTGTAATCAATTTTTATCTATCAACACAAATTTTAAGTATAAACATCTATTGAGTTAATGAGTACTGTTTGAAATAATAATAATGAAATTATAAAAATATTTTGATAGATCCATATTTTTTTTAGAAATATCTACCAAGTTCATATATTTGTAGATAGAATTCACGGTTTACTTAAAGTACCAATAGATTGAAGACACCATGAGAATTGTTACATAGGCCATACAAAAGAATTGTAGCAGTGGTTGGGTGGGAAGCACCCGGAGCCATATTATATAGCAATATACTCATATATAAAACAATTGTTTCACTTCTCTTGATAGATGTATCGATATATTATTATATTACAATTTACTCACTTCAAATGCATCTTCGATACCATCTTCGGTTATGTTGGAGTTGGTTTCTCTCGCGCGTGTCACTATCGCGGGGTTGTACTTCAGTACGTAGTACGATTCGTCTGTGGCCAGACAGACCAGGTTACCGCTTTCCGACCAAAACACATGACGTGGTTGGATCTCGATTCTGAAAGATTATTATATATTTTATATAGTATATTTAATTAATAAAACTCCCAATATAGTTCTGTATAGTGTCTGTGTTATATAGTTTCGGTGTAAATTAAAATATCGCTGACGAATTCGCATTAAATCGTAGTTGGTGTGAACGATCGCTTTTGCAAATAAGTTTGTATAAGCGTAAGTTTATGATAGCTCTATATTTTTATTAGACAATATAACAATACCTAGTTATGTTAGTATTGCTATTTTTTTGGACATGTCACTCAACTCTAACAGTCACGACTTAATGGCACGATATTCATGCGTAGAGATCAAGTACAGGAGCGACGTAACATGTGATTTCCAAACGAGGCGCTGTTTAGTAACACCCTCTCTCCCTCTTAAACATTTTTAACAAAAACTCCCAATTAACTCCTTGTGTATTTTTAGGCATATATATATAGGGAATCGAACCCACACGGCCCGCTCTTAGACTAGAAAAACTAGCTACTAGATAAACGAAGCTATATTAATGACTGAAGATGAATGAAATTGAAGAGTAATGCCAAGAAGACCAAGAAATAGTAATTAAATAGCCTAGTATAAAACATAAAAATGGCATAAACGCCATAAAGTAAACTTTAGAGCAATGAAGAATTTCCTTTCACTAAATCGGGCAATTTTACATAACAAGTGTTGAACTATTTACTGAATTCTTCATTGTACTGTAATATCAGTAAATTCGCTTCGCCAATGCTTCAAACAATATAACTTTGGTAAGATTATGACAGTCGCAATTTGTATGATTTTAATTGTAAGAAAAAATTATATTCAATGAAAATGCACCAACAATTAGCATCGGGATTACAAATTCTGATTTCTAATTCTTAAAATTAACATAACTTTTTTATTTATCAACCGATTGAAATAAAACAAATACTAAACGTTAAGTGAAACTTACCACACTACATTAGTGAAAATCACACCCAAATCGGTAAAGCCGTTTTTGAGATTTGCGCGCACAAATACACAGGCAAACAGACAAAAAAAAATTAAAAATCATTGTTTTGGGTTCTATTTCGTTAATAAAGTCCCCCAATAATTGTTTTTCACAAATATCTTTCATGTACAGAGAGTGATCAGTTAGACTTTTATTATAATAATGTATAGTTATACTTATATTATAAAAATATATTTTATTACAATTTTATCATCCACATACACATTAAACAGTCACGATAGAAAATGTGTGTAAAAAAACTCAAGATTTAATTACATAATTTAATATAATATTTTTTATTGTATATTTTTTTTTATTATATAAAAACCGCCAGTGATTTCAAAGATTGATTTCAAAATTTCACGCCAAGTATAAGCCACACGATAACTAGTATTGTATTGCAAAGAAATATTGTATATTTGTTTATTCCTTTTCCTTCACACAGCAACCCACGAACGTGAGCGTGAGCGGTATAAGAGTCATTATTAAATCCCCGACAAAGAAGTAAAGAGTCAGGATCTTATATAATAAGTCACTAATATTATAATATGTAATAATTACACTATAATTCGCAAGCAAATAACTGAAATAAAGATCGCCTTTTTTGTTATTAATTTAAAAAATGTGAAGGTTCGCAATGCAAATGCACTTTATCCACAAACTCGAACATGAGTTTAAATATAATCAAAGTTATTCATACAAAATTGGATGGTTCAGAAAACACAATAATACTTAGTATCTTACCTTCTAATGAGTTCTAGCTGTTCCCAGTCATAGAAAGAGAACGCCATGCCGCTAATAGATTTGACCCCCAACATGAAACCGCCAAAGATACCTAAAACAACATTTAATATATTTCTTAAAAAATATACAACATATATATGCATAATAATACTATCATCTTTTATTGTATTTTCATACCAAAACAATCATAATATTTCAATATTACTATAGTGAAAGTCGTTATACATTTTCACTTACAAAAATCAAAATAACTTAATTGAATATATGTTTAGCTTTAATTTACCTTCAGCTCCATACTCCGGCTTGAAGCTTTTTCGCTCTTTGAAGTTCTTGAACACTTTAACAGTACTGGAATTCTCCAGCGTCGCATACTCGGTGCTATCCAAAGCCCATACAAACTCCTGGGCTGTTCCAAAAGCCTTGTTCCTGAGGGCCATGGCAGTGTAAATAATATATTCTCCGTCTCCACAGACCACTACAAAGCGTCCATTGGGGTTGTGTGCTATTGTTTGGGGGTAAATTTCACAGGAACCCATATCCTTTGCCGCAACTGGTACACGCTCACCATCCTTTATCTCTGTGCCTGTTTGAAAATAAGAAAAATAATTAAATAACTTATTATGCTACAAATATTGTCATGAATTATATATTAACACAAATAAAAATTAGTGCATCAACACAAAATTAAGAAAAATTGCATCTATCTGAATATTAATTTTTTTAATGCTATTATTATTGGTAATCATGTCTATAATTTGAAAGAGTTGCTATCTTTTCTAGAAATGCAATTGTTAACATTCTAATTATTTGTTTATCATATTGTATGAATAACATACCTTCCGGCAAAGCTTTCAGGTTGACCTGCTGCATTTCAGAATGCTTCGCCCATATGATCTTACCACCATTAACATCCATTGATATAGCTGGCTCCTCTCTGCCCACTTTTATCATTATTGTACCTTCGTCATAACTGTTGAAATTAATGCATATTAATTTGAATTATATATATTATAGTATTAAAAGCACTATTTTTATTTTATAAAATACTAGCAGAATCCGCGGCTTCGCTCGCGCTAAAACTACAAAAACAAACTCTAAAAAGGAAGGTTTCATACAAACTTTCATCCTCTATTTTACCCTTTTTTGGCATGAATTTCGAAAAATGCTGAAACACGTCTTTATTTAAATATATTGAAGTGCATTAATACCAATTTTCAAGTAATTCTGATCATAAATATTTTTTTGGTTTGTATTATAACGTGTTTTCTTGTGGGAATGAGATAATCTCCCACGGTAAAAAGTACCCTCCCTATGTCACTCTCCAGCCCTTCAACTATCTCCACACAAAAAATCACGGAAACCCATCACTCCGATTTGACGTGAAATAAAGACAAACAAACACACTTTCACATTTATAATATTAGTATGGATATTCAATATAATTTTCTTACCCAATAGCAACATTATTGGAACCATGCATAGATGATATGGTCCAGACACGTTCAAACCCATAATTGAGAGAGGATTCTAATCTATAGGTGCCAGCGTGCCATATTCTCACTGTACCATCCTCTGACCCTGTCAGCAATACTGGCAATTCTGGGTGAAAAGAAACCGCTGATACATTCTGGACATGACCTGTGGAGAATCATAACATTAGAATGTTTATATAAGGATTGTTATAATCAGGCTTTGTTATATTCAGCATTAATTAAATTTGTATTGAAGTTTTCAGTCTTTTGATTGGAATAGAAAAAATTACAATACAGTGGCCATTTATACCATCCTCTGTTGTAACAACTCTTTGGTTATAGCGATGTACACTTAAGTCTCTTTAATTTAAAGTATACTTTCAGAGAACAATAATATGGCTATAGCGGCTTCGGCTGTAATAACGATTTTCGGTATAGCAACTAGTTTTAATGAATCATTTGTCACAAGTTCCTAGAAATCCCATCCAGATGTTGTGACCGAGTCTATACACAAAGACCTTGACTATCAACAAATGCACAAAGATTCATTCATAGCATAGTTACTCAGTCATTTGTAAAATATACTAGAAATTTAAACTAAAACAATGCCATATTAGTGACCTTTTTTGAGAAAATCCTACAATATTATTTAGTAGACATACACATATATGCATGTTGTCTGGCAATAAATGTTTTTTTACTTACATTATTTCTTGCTTTCTTTCTACCTTCATATTAGCGACACAAATTATAGTGGTCCCTTCATCGTCGTTATAAACAAAATTTATTGTAGTTCAAAGTAAAAAGTAGGAGATAAAATATATCACTTACTTTCAAGTGTCTGCACACAAGTTTTGTTTTGATAATCCCAAATTTTTACAAGACGATCATCAGCTCCACTGATAAGGTAAGGTTTGTCACCTCCATGATAGTAATCCACACAGTTTACTCCCTTCTCATGTCCTTCTAATGTGAAATTCGAGATTGAGGAACCTAGTTGCCATACCTTGTGTGGACAAGAAAAAATATCCATATTAAATAAATCACATACATATTATATTACAAAAGTCAAATTATAAAAGCACATTATTTTTAAACAAACAATAATAAGCCTTGATTTTTCCATAAATGAGGACCAATTAACATTAAGGATCTACATAATATAAATAAAACCCTATTTCTATTTTATCTTTATACTTGTTCATGAAATTGGTTCATGCTATAACCATAAAGTAAAATGAGCATTTTCCCAGAAACAGGATATATATTGTCAAAGAATATGATAATGAAGTTTCATACTGATAGTAATTAACAGGACACTTAAACAAGTGATAGAATAATATGTCCCATTTTTACAATATATCTATTATTTTTATATGTCCCTTAATATTAAATTAATGATTAATAACTGAGGGGCATATCTTTCACTGAAATCCAATTGAATCACTCACCTTTACTGTAGTGTCAAGACTGGCACTAGCAAATGTATTATTGTCTTTTGGATTGATAACAATTTGCATCACATAATGGGTATGGCCTTCAAACACCTGCTGACAGGCCCAGTTGCGATCCCAGTTCCACAGCTTAATTAGTAGGTCATCTAAAATATTTATTTTATTACTAATATAAAACCCAATTATTTTATATGAAGGTTTAGAATTAGAAATATTTGTCTTAATAAGATACTGTCATAGTTGATTCTTCACCATCACTACTTCCAATATGCAAACATATTTTAAAGTCATATTCAACAAAAACATTTTTCTTAGAGGTTTAATGAAATAATTGAACATTTTCTCTTAATTATGTTGAAAGGCAAATTTATTAATAATAATTGACTTACCACTGCTTGTCAAAATATAAGGTTGTGTAGGATGAATAATGATGCATCTGACATAATCAGAATGGGCCTCGAAATTATGAATTCTTTCCAATGTGTTATAATTAAATATTCTTATTTGATAATCATCTGAACCAGTGACAACCCAATTTTTTCGAGGCACAAATTTTGCAGCTCTCACAGGCAAGTCACAGACCTGTGAAGAAAAAGAATTACAATTCTTAGTACAAGGTGTTACTTTATATAGGAATAAAAAAATATATTTTAGTATAAAAATTTAAAAGATTTATTTTTTCTTATTTTTTTTTAAATATTCGTAACATAACAACGAATTTATTTATACATAGTAATAACCATGCACAAAAAAATGTAATTGTATATTGCACATAAAGAATAAGAAGAAAAGTATGCAATTTAATAGAACTGTAGCAAACTGTAATTGTTACGAAATAACGTTTCTTATAAGAACACTTATGATGTATAATTTATTATTTTTTTTAAATGATGTCACTTATCACAATGGGAAAATATTGAGTAAAAGTACTCCTAAATAACATTTGAAAATTTCTTCGTACCTCAAATCTCTTGATTTGTGTATGAGTTTCATAATTCCAGATATTGACGTCGCCGCTGTAGAGTGAGCATAACAGCCAGGGTTCTGTAGGATGCTGATCTACACACTTGACGCGGTCCGACCGAGCCGTCAGCTTCCTCTTGATATCCAATCTCAGTGGCTTCGGAAACATTGTAAGACCGAATTAAAATACGATAAATACAGTAAAAGAAACATCAATTTACATGGTTAATATAATATTGGTAAGCCGACATACGAATGATGACATACTCTCAACATTTCGCTTACTACGTGGCCAAAACATTATCAGAACAAAAATATAAAAACTTAGAATTTAACGCACTTTTCATAAGAAATACGGAAATGTTCTTACCATTTTTAATAGTTAAAACATGAAAAATTGTCATGCAGAATTCGTGAAACCGTGGAAGTTTGACAGGGTGGGTGGACGTGTCACTTTATTTTTTTTCGATGCCAAACTACTCGGATACGCGTCCAAATTCATTCAAACAATATGACTGTGTACTTTCCAGAGTTAATAGAGAATACAGATATAATAAAATTATTTTCACTATTGCAACGTGTTTAAAGATTATATAGATAGCGCTAAAACTACAAAAAAAACTCTTAAAAGGTAGGTTACATACAAACTTTCATCCTCTATTTTATCCCCATATGGGATAAATTCCGAAAAGTGCTAAAGCATGTATTTATTTCATTTTGATTGGAAAGCATTAATACCAAGTTTCAAGTAATTCTAATCATAAGTTTTTTTTTGGTTTGTATAATAACGTATTTTCCCATGGGAATGAAATAATCTCTGTCTATGTTACTCTCCGGCCCTCTTACTATCTCCACACAAAAAATCACGCCAGTCTGTCACTTCGTTTCGACGTGAAAGAAGGACGGACAAACACACTTTCACATTTATAATATTAGTATGGATTTGTAATCATTCATTATTCGTTATAGAATTTACAGTAATTAATATTGATAGTTATCTATCTATTGTATCCTATTTATTCTTTGATTGTACCGTTTTGCGATGTAGCTATAAGTACGATTTATACTTCGAATGATATCAATGCTTAGAGATTTTGTTAATATTTTTTGATAAAATGGTAAGTCATGTCAAGTTGTTTAATTTCAGGTTTTCATAATCGGATACAAAATATTTTTAATAAACAAATATTATTAATTACCTACAGATTACCCCCTACGTCACAAACTCACAAACTTTACCTCTTTATAATATTATTAGTATAGGTGTATGTACCAAAATAAAACTCACGTCAATATTTAATTTTTTTAATCTAAATACTATAATATTATACATAATATGTACTAGTTAAAGTATACTTAATTACTATTAAATAATGTTATTCTAAATATCATAGGAAGGTACAAGGGATTTTATATATACAAGTATTTCTAACTTTGAAAATGTTTGTTTTATTGTTTCCGGAAATTCAGACTGGAATTTGGTTACACAATCAAAAATTCATCTGAATTTTATTTATTTACTTAAAGTTAAATGTAAATAATTATATTGATATAAAATTGATAGCACTTTTGATTGTGTATTAGTTTCTTCATAACAGCATTATTATATAGCGAACAAACAGGATTATGCTTACTGACAACATTGTCTTTCACAAAATACAAGTATTATAGAGGTTCTCTAATTAACTGCATTCTAATACAGTGAATTCTTAACTGGTTAAGTATACATTTCTAAAGCATTTATATGGTATAAGAAAACTTATTGTACGATTAAGATATTGATCATTGTACCTAATAACATTTATTCTATAAGATCTATTCTTAAGAATAAATTTTATCTGCTTTCTTCATTGTTACGATCTAGATTAAAGAATAGGAGTAATACCTTAGAGCAGCCATACTCAACCTTTTTTTTATAGGAGCCACAAACACGTTTCAGTCATGGTGTCGAGGGCCGCAAGCAAAAATTATTTAGGTTTTAATGAAAACGTACGTAACGTAAACGTCCAAGTGAACGATGTAGTTACTTTTTTAACAAAGATATGTTATAATGCGATTTTTGATGCTGCCGCATGCGGCCCGCGGGCCGCAGGTTGAGTATAGCTGCCTTAGAGTATACATAAGCTATAGAGCGCGCGCTAGCAAGTATGAACTGTAAGCACGGGTATGAACAGTCTCGAAATAGCAAGGGCAACGCTATTAGTCACGAAAAGTCAATCGCGCTGTTTCTCTCGTCGGTATTTATTTGAATTTATGTAATCATGGTGAAATGTGAAGTTCCAAGCTGTAAAAATTATTCACGAAAGTAAACTAAAACGAACAAATATATTGCTTTTCATCGGAAAATAATATTTTAATCAGAAAACGCTGATTTTAACAAAATTACACAGGCGTGAGCAGGTGTTGCGGGAGGCGCGCGGGCGGGTCGACACAACACGTGCTTCCGCGCCCCCCGCTTCTCACTTTCCCTCATTAACAGCTAGTGTTGTACCATGTTGTACTACTCGAATATTTTGTATAACCATAGTATTATAACTTAAAGATCCTTTGTATTTGTCAAAAAAAAACCTTTAAATTTAAATGGCACCAAAGTACCTTACGATATTATTAATTTTAATTTTAAACATTTGTATAATTTTAATAAGTTTTATAATTGCATGGAATATGATTTATTTCATTTTAGCTGCTATTATTATAATTATTACAATGTTTTTAGAAAACTTTATTAATTAGTTATCTTATTTAGTGTTGTCATTATTATATTTATAAACATAAAAAAAGAATTATTCAAGCCACATTATTGTTCTATGTGAAAATTAAAAAAATTAAAATGTTAAAATTAATTAAGAATAATAATTATATAATAATTACATTACGGGATTTAAACGCGTGAATTCACATTTAATTCCTGTAATTTGCGTTTAAATCCCGTAGTGTAATCATTATATAATTATGGAACGCGAAAATTTAAAAAGAAATTTTAATTTAGTTTACTATTATTTAAAAAAAAATCAAAATATTAAGCAACTCTATTACTACATAGATTTATAAATGAAAGATATTAATTTGAAATACTGTAATTTTAGATAATAAAGTCTATATCAAGTAATTTCACTTCACATATATTTCACAATATAGATTACGTGTTAGTATTGTTATGAGTGAAATATCGTTTGCAAATATTTGTGCAATTAGTAACGCCATTTGTTTCTAGAAATAATATTGAAATGGACTTTAAAAATTTATAATAATGCTATGGTGCTAAGCTTTTGCGCACTATACATTTTATACCGGCAAATAGTTTAATCGGGTTTAGTCAATAATATGATATGCAAATATGAACGTCCACACAGACACGATAATTTGTATAAATTAATATCAATAAATAACTTTAAATAAGGGTTATATGTAAATTATTTAATTTGGTATTCTTGCTAATATGAAAGTGCACCATATTGTTGTCAAATTACTAATAATTTGCATTTTTAATAAATAAATAAATAAGAGCATAAACTCTAAAGCTTTTATTCCTCCTTTTTTCTATTCAACAATACTTCACTCAAATACTAGAATACAGCATATTTAATAAGGTGTAGTTTACTTAACATCTTATCAAAGAAAGGTATATTGGTCTATATCTGTTATTATTGTACTATTATTATACTAACCTTGTATCAATGTAGGGAAAATTATTATTTTACATGTTAAAACGAATAATAAATAAAACATTCAGTTGATTTGAAATATCCTATTATCCTGCATTGAGGAAATGAATTCCAACCTTAGTATTAACTTATTTGATATAAAAAACAAAAGGTAATCTGTTTTGAAACGAAACACACCTAACAATATTGGCTATTTCTTACAAAATGAAGTCACTCTAGGGGCCTCACTAGGAGGAAATGTTTCTTCAATTAACTCTCACGCAGTTTCTAACAAAAACAAAACATCCTCTAAACTATTATATATAACAATAACAAATACGCATTTGCAATCACTTTCACTGTAACACATATCCTTAGTACAATACTTGCAATATAGTTTATTCACTCTGAAATTAGCGCTAATCTCTTCCGCACACGCTAATACTTCCTTTAGAGTAATGTCACTGCGGCTTCACTTGCAGCAAACTTCAGAGCTACACAGATATAATATGAGTAGGTACCGTGTGTATAAATTGTATAAAATGTATTTATTTTAAATAACTGCGATACAGCATGACCGAGTGCGCCGTATCTTTCTCTTGTTCCAGGAGGTAGATCATGTCTCTGAGATTGATGCGTTTGAGCCGAGTTCTTAGAGCGAGCTGACTGCGCCCAGACTGTAAATAGAACATGTTAATCAGTTGTGTACTAAAAATTTGGATCGCTTAGTCATCAAAAAAGCTTTAAGGTAAAGTATGAATGATTTATTATTATATAAAAATAATTCGTTTATATCTATACAGATAAATAAAATTGAAGTGTCTGTTTCTAATGACAAAATAACAGTTTTTTTTTCCAAATGCATATAAAATTATATCCGGCACTTATAAAGAAAACACAATTTTCTAAATTTTTCTGTCTTTTTGTTTGTTCCGGCTAATCTCAGCTGGACTGATTTTGACGTGACTTTCACTGGCAGATAGACTATATTGTAACTTAGACTACTATTTTTAGACTAGCGACTCACACTCGCTTCGCTCGGGTTCATCCCTGGCTTGATTCCCCATAAAAACTTTCATCCCCATTTTCACCCCCTTAAGGGAAGAGTTCCGGGATAAAAGTATCCTATGTCCTTCCCAGGGTCTCAAACTATCTTATTACCACATTTCATCTAAATCGGTTCAATGGATCCAGGGATTACCCCCTACAACGTTACAAACTCACAAATTTTTACCTCTTTATAATATTAGTATAGAAAAAGAATTAGGGTTCGAAAAAATTAAAATAATACTAGGGGCGTACCCGAACGAAGCGAGGGTTAGTCGCTAGTTTATGAATAAAGTCAGCTAAAATAGAATTTATCATTTTATCTTGAGTACCAATTATACGGTTTTTTTTTCTACCTGTTCATGATATTTACATAACAATCTTAAACACAGTGTAAAATTTGTACCTACCATCATTCTAAACTGACTTCAATTCAATGAATTCACATTGATTGTGAATAATTGTGTGTAAATACTTACAAATCCAGCCCCATGGTTGGCTGTGCCAGGAACGGAGTCCCCTGCCCCACCGGGCCCGTCCAGGCGGGGCTTCTTGCGCGGCCCGATAGCTTGTAGGGCTGTTAAGTTGGCTTCCCTCTGCCTTAGCTCTTCCAGTTCCGCGCGTTGCATTTCTTTGGCCTTATTTGTTAGAAACATGTATTAAAATGGATATAATTTAGAAGTAATATTAAGTGTAAATACAACAAATCACAGTTTACTTCACTGTGTGTGCTTGTTCAATCGACACAACGGATTTAAAATTCGGATTCAATTTGACATAACTATCATGCGAGCGGAACCGCGGACATACATTTGTTCATCTGTATATCATATGTGAAACAAAAAAATTGTTGTGTACTGTTAGTGTTTATCTTTATAGCATTTTTTTATTTTACAACCTCAAAATGTATGTAATTGAAAAGACTTTTGAAATTGCACACAAAGTGTTTGTGGTTTTATGTGGTAGTGCACTTAATTATTATTTCTGAGTTGCGAGTTCAATTACCGCATGAGGTAAAGCGGACTTGTGTATCTTCTAACACGTAGCGTTTCAATATAAGGAGACAAATATAATAATGACTTCTCTTAAAAGATTACCATTGATGATGTTCTCCTAGCCGATTCCGGCCACGGCGAACAATCTCATTTAGACTAGCCAATTGCGCAGGAGATATTATAGTGCACAAGTGTACGCGAAGACACAACGTGCACTCTCTATTCCTGTCACTCTCATACTTTGGTGGGACGACCACTCGACACGACCGGTGAGAGTTAAGGCGCAGGACCGACGGCTTTACGTGCTCTCCGAGGCACGGGGGTGAAACACCGCCAACTTCCCAACTCCGGGTTGTTACTGAGACTTACTATACAGAAAGACTCAATAACTAAACTTGGCCCGACCCGGGACTCGAACCCAGGACCTCCGAGTGTGCAGCCGTACATGCTAGCCACTACACCACCGAGGCCATTACCATTATAAGTTTATTGACGTCATACAAACCTTAGCTTTCAACTTAGCTTGTTCTGGGTCCTCATTTTTCGACCGCGACTTGGCAGCTCTCAAAAGCATTTCTCTTTCCGAGTCCTCTCTTCTTTTCTTGTCCATTCTATCCAATTCCTCTAAGAACTTAAGCTGACCTTTCACATCTTGTGTTACTTCGTACCGAGAGTCCGTCTGAAGAAAAGTTTCTTATTAACAAGTGTATAACAAAAACCAAAATAAAAACGGTTAACAAACGATAAAAAGTAGAAGAATTTGTTTTAAATACCTATTGTATATAGTCAATCATCTAGATTCGCTTATTTTTTTTAATATTATACATCATTAACATAACAGCATTATATATAATATAAGAATTATATATATTTAACATATAAGCATTTGCTTCGTTTACAAGTCATAGGTAAATAAACAATAATTACATGTTGCAATTTTATTGCACGTTATGCTAAGCCAAAGCCATCAAGTCCATTCGCCATGTTGTAATTGAGCTTGGATACTCTTAATTCTATTGGTTGTTTTAATTAAATTAATCGTTTTTTGGCACAAAACGGTTTTGCTGTTATCAAAGTGGGCTAAAAGATCATTATTCTCGCGAGCAATTTTCGCTTTGCCTGTATTTTTTATTTGTATGTGTGCCATGGACTTCATGCAATTTTGAGTTGATAGGCAGAAAAATTTCTATTTATTAAAAGAATTAAAGTTTATTTCACTCAATAAATACTACATTACGAAATAAACTAATACAGAAATATTTTAAGATAGACAAACAGATGACACGTAAATTGTACAATAGTAAATAATTAATTTGCAGCAGCATTTTTCATGTTATAGACATTTGGATCAATGTTTTCATTCGCAATTGCAGAGTGTATTAAATAAAACATAAAAATTGTAACGTTTTAACGATAATTCGCTGCGGTACTAATAGGTTCAAATTGTAATGTTAATTAATATCAAATGGATAAATACAAAATTCGTAAAACTTGGTGACTGATACTATTCGCTTTGGCTACCCCCTACTCGGGATATAACGTTAATATATCATATTATATATATATATATATATATATATATATATATATATATATATATATATATATATATAACATGTCTTAATTAATTATTAACTTTTAGAGTTTAGACAAACCTACTGAATCTAACAAGCCAAAATGTTCTTAGTATGTTTATACATATATACATAATACATGACACAAAATTTGTTGGACACAAAAAATGTTCTTGGAAAATAGTGAAAACAGTGTACTAGTTAGTGAGCTTTCAACAAACTTGGGGGACTGTACCTTAATTAGCAAGTCGATCCTATGCTGAGCTATGACGGCCAGTTTCTCCACTAGATTCTTCAGCCTCTCGTGGACCGCGTGACTCATGATGCCGGCCACCTCCGCCGATGGCTCTTCTAGGCCGTGCTTCGCCGTAATTGCCTTTAACCGTGATTGCATTACCGATATAGGAATTAGGTACTCGTCTTTGCACGACCTGTAAATAGTAAGATGAAAAATTGTACTGAATTATTAGACATCTAGCTTCTTAAGATTTCTTCTGTTCATGATACAATCTTTAGATTTTAACGAGCTCTTGAAAAGACGTCTTTTTAATAAATTAATTTGTCCCAATATAATCAGTTCTGTTCGGTTTTGTCCTGTTCACCTCTTGACTTGGTTTCAATTTTCAAAACAAGCAGAAAATTATTCAATGTTCAACCTGTGTTACAATTTTAAACCTATAAATTAGATTGAATTAAGCAATAAATTTGACATCGATTTTCGACTTTTTGCCCCTAAGAAATTATACTACAATATAGATTCACCTTATCTGTGTGCCAATCATGTCAGTAGAACCGAGAATTCTTTGAGTTTCTTCCGCCAAATTGACGCCTCCCATAGCAGCCACGTCGTTGATATCGTCATCGCCCGCCATCTTATCATCAGCGAAGGGCTGTGAGGCGAACTGCATCCCAGACTTCTTCTCTTTCTCTTTTAACAGGGACTTCCCCGCAGTCAGAACAGTTGAGAGACCCGACGATGCAGCCGCGGGTCTTGTGAACGTCTTGCTATTGACCGGCATTGTCTTGCCCACTTTGGTCACATTTATCTTCGTGTGAACTGGAATATTCTGGAGAACTGCGATCGTACTACCCGCCTTTGGTGGGGGCTTTTGCTGGAAGTGGCTCGCATGTTAAGGTTGTATCAGTACATGATGGTGTATGTATATATATGTGGAATACTTCAAGTGAATGTACTGAACTGTGTGTGTAGAGTAAAATGATATGAGTGAGTCGTTTATTTACGTGTCTATGTAAAAAGTAACTACGGTACATGCAGCTCATCATTAAGAAAGGTAAATAACAACATTTAACATGTTCAACAAATTAATACGAATTATTATTTAAACGAAACAAACAGCCGCGATACAAGTGATCAAAGCCTGCCACTATACAGATTACACATGGATCTGACAGATGCTGAAAATTATTATATAAATAAGTGTAAGTATTGTAAATTAACGTGTAAAGACTGTTCTACACATGCAAAGCTATTTTTTGTCATAAAGTATATTAGTAGTAGTTATATGTGATTTTAATATATTTTTTTCTGTACTTTACACTAAATAATTTCATGTATTTAATTATGGTGTAATTGGCCCTGCACATTAAAGGTAAGTATTTCGCCATAGGTCTTCATGTGTATACGTAATAATTTCAATAATTATAATACAACCATCTCATTATATATAGTATATGATTTTTAAATATCCTTGTGTAAATGTATTATAATAAAATTTGTTTACAGCAGTAATTTAGATAAAGTTTTTACGATAAGTGCAGGTTACATAAGTTTTATACCCCATAGCGTTAAAATTGTGAGATAATTCCGCCATTAACCCATTTATTGGCAGTAAAATGTAGAATAGCTTATTGGTTTGCTATGTGAAGTTGTATTTGTAATATCGTTCGACACAAAATACGACATGACCAAACAGTAACAAGCGCAAAATAAAAAATAAAATAAATAACAGTGATCTCATATAACATTTAAGATTGAAGAAGCTAAGTATAACAATGGATAAAAGATGTGGAGACAACATAATTGTACTAATTTCGAGCCAAACTTCTACAGGATTTCAGCGCTTAGCTACACCCTAGCAGATAATGAGCAGATATTATCACTTGTCACTAGCGAGATGGCTGTTGTTATATTTTAACCAATGAATTTTAAGTAGATAATTGATTTATTTGTACTTGAAATAAAATTCGTTTATACTCAAAAACTCTGTTGTTCAAAATATGTTCATATATTGTTTATATATATATAATTCATTTACTTTGTCTAATTTTATTTATCTTTTGAATACATCTTAGTTCGGATATTTTAAATGAATAGGTACAATAATAAAAACTTTTTTCTATTCCACTGAGTTATATACGTTAGGTCGAGTTACACTATTACTTTAAAAAGCTAGCCTCAGTTAAATACATTAATGGTTCACGAAAACATCATGTTTTAAAATTGAAACCATCAAGAGGTTATTTGCTCATTATAAACTAGAAAGCCACTTTTACAATTAAATAAAAATATTAAAAAAGATGACGATTTGCAGAGTTTTTCGGAATCATTCCCATAGCGTCCACATTTCCTAAATAATTTATTTTTATTCGATAATACTAATCTATGAATAGATGGAATTCTTACAAGCGTTCAAGTGATAACAATCAATGACTGAATAAAACCCAATATGTTTGAGATAAATACTTCATTATGTAGCTATAAATTCAAGGCAAGAATTTATAATTAACTAGTTTAAAACTTAGTCAAGATTTACTTAAGATTTTTATTATTATGGTATTAAAGATCTAAATCTTTGCAGATTAAACAATATAAATTAAAAACAATTTAATGACAATGTATTATTTTAGTACACATTCTACGAAATCCAACTAACATCCCGCAACAGAAAGAACACGGAAAGTTTAACGAAGATCCTTTTCATAACTTTGGTTTGTTATTAAACGTAAGACTAAATAATAACTTTTAATACATAAACCTTTAGAGATAATAATTAAAAACCTTTCAGATTTCTCTGAATGATTCCGAGAACTCCTTACTATCCTCAAACGCAGTAGGAAGGGGCTAACAGGCGTCTAAGTGTCAATGTAGGACTGCCATCCGACATTTATTATTTATTATGAAATAAATGATAGACTATCGAAAGAATCTCTTGTAATATTAAACTTTATGGGAATACTACTACTGTCTACTTTATAATTGGACACAAAATTGATTAATATCAAGCAAGTCAATGGGTGGCAGTCCTAGGCATCAATGTACCGAGACAAACCTGCACAACATTTTGCACGGTCACCGTGATCGGTTTCGGTGAGGGCGGTCGAGGGAGGATCGGCATCACGGGGGGCAGGAGGGTTGTCAGGACGGGACTCGAACTACCCTCGTCCTCCGACTGCCACAACTCATAGCTTTAAAGCTCAATAAAAAATCTTCTTTTCGTAAGAGATTATTTTGCTTTGATTTTACTGTTTTCTTCCCTCTACTTCAATATTAAAGTCTGTTCATTTTTTATTTAGATTTATTTTATAAAAAAAAACTTTTTATTTAAACTTTTAAATGATGTGTCCATTGTCAAATTAAAAACAAATGGCAAAACATATTTTTCTTGAATGATTCCGAGAACTCAAAACTACCCTGATACGATAGAAATGGGGTAACAGGCGTCTAAATGTCAATTGCAGAGCTGCCATCCGTCGGAACCAATATAAACTTAGATAATTAACTATTCAGTACTGTATTTACATTTCCAAAGATAAGATATAAGCTTTGTATAAACTATCAAATCCATTACATTTTCCAGGTGTATTTTTTGCCATTTTCCATACATATTTTTTACAATTTATTTGCTAATAGTAATCGTGTCAATGGATGGCAGCCCTAAACATCAATATTCCGAGACAAACCTGAGAGATGTTTTGCATGGACAACGCGACCGGTTTCGGTGAGGGCGGTCGCGGGAGGATCGGCATCACGGGGGGCAGGAGGGTCGTGAGGGTAGGACTCGAACTACCCTCATCCTCTGACTGCCACAACTCACAGCTTTACGAAAGCTCAAAAACATACAATAGGGTACATGACGGAAGGGGTAAAATTGGTTGGTGAACATTGCTGAGATAGCTCAAAAATCGGTAAAATTTAAAACACGAAGATGATTTTATGTTTATACAAATATAAGATCAAATAAAAATTTATTTCATGAAACATTTTTGCTGTTGTGTCTTAGTTTAATAAATTGTAATAGAATAAACGTGGCAGGAGAATAATTAAAAGGCTCAACGTAAAATTAGTGCAGACGGTCCAGCAAATTGAACTCTTGCGAATCAATCTGTGTTTTTAAAATTATTTTAATATTATAAAAATGCAAAACTAAGCACTTGTCATGTACCCTATACTGTAATTAGAACAAAGTACAAAAATAAGATACAATGGTAGAATATCTGAAAGGAAACCACATTTGTATACATAAGAGTATGGATGATGTCAATATTAAGTTATACAGCAATAAATCCTATAATAATATAAATAACCCCATCTTTATTTTAGCTAGAACTAGCAATTTTACAAAATAAAAATCTGACACCAAATTAACTAGAATTAAGTAAATTTGATATGACGATGATATAAGAGAACAAATTTTTGGTGGAGATTCAATTTTGCCTAGTGACTGTTTTAGAAAGTAACATAACTGCAGTATTATTTAGTTTCCAGTATGAACATCGTACGTGTGTAATCATTGTCCACAAACTAAATAAAGACTGTCGCTCGTAAGCTATTTCTGCGAATGGCTCTGGTCATCGCCAATATTTACTACTTTATTTAGAAAATAAGAACGGCTCATTTTCCTGGTCGAGTTACTTAATACCCAAAAAAACTTTTTTCTTTACAAAAATCTATTAAATGTTCACGTAATGTCCATTTCTAGTAATACTGAAAAATCTATTATATTTCTTAATAAAAAATAACCTATCTATCATACAGCACTACTAGTGCCAATTAGCGTAACGGAATTAGCGGAGCAATGTTGATCGGATTACATGACCTGTTTTAGTTATGATATTGAAGCAATGCAAGCTTTCACTACGCTGTTATAAACGTATTAAAAACTGCAAAACGTTTCGACATATTTGATAACAGCCAGATTATCGATAAGTTAGTGTATTAATAAAATCGATTATAGTGTTGACATGTCCTAATGTAAAATCGATTTAGTCAAAGAATATTCTGTGGAAAGGATCAACTTACCAGTTGTATATTGTTAGTGGCTGTGACGATTTGAGCAGACGGTGCAGGGAGTGTTGAAAAAGCGACATGGGGCGATGGTGGGTTGATACCCTCGATCACCAGTTCCTTGGTGACGAGAGATTGTCTTAGTAGGGGCAAACTTTTCTGTAATAAAAATTCTCTTTTCAATATTCAAACTAACAATAAGTGGACTAAATATGATGTTAGTAAAGATGTGACATAAAAAAATATGATTTCGAAGTCAAAATTTTAAAATCACTCTTTGAAATATAATGAAATACTAGCGACTCGCCACCCTCGCTACGCTCGGGTTCGTCCTTAGCTTGCTTCCTAATACAAACTTTCATCCCCATTTTCACCCCCCCAAGGGATGATTTCCGGAATAAAAAGCATCCTATGTTCTTCCGAGCGTTTCAAACCTCTTAGAAATCTTACCAAATTTCATCTAAATCGGTTCAGTAGATCCAGAGATTACCTCCTACAACGTCACAAACTCACAATTCACAAATTTTACCTCTTTATTATATTAGTATAGATGAATGATTTATTAACATATATAATTTTTTTAAACTTCGAAACCTTATTTTTTTAAAATATAATAAATATTATATAATAATAATATTAGGAAAAAAATAAAAATAATATAAATATTATTATATTTATATATAAATTATATATTATATTTATATATAAATTATATATTATAGGTATATACAAATAGCTCGCCCGCGATATTTGGTAGAGTTTTCGCTTTGGAACTTACGTAAGCATTCAATAATTTTTTATATGGAATTCTATAGTGTTTTTGAGGGCTTGCAGAAGTAACGTTTAGGGTTAGTGGTATTTCTTACAAAATAAATTCATACTTAGCACTTCAATTTCACATGATTTAACGAACTCTCTTTCGACAAAACCATCTGCATTTCACCTTCGTTTAACATAGACTTACCTTAAGCATTTGCAGGAAGACATGCACATACATACATAGATACCTCTCCAAGTTCCAGAGAGGCAGACTACTTACCTTTAGAAATACAGTTGGATACGTATTCAATGTTTCATTTAGCAGACATTAATATAAAAATTGGAACTTTATAAATCTAATCATCTTCTAAAAAATACGCTATGCTCTGTCTAAAAATGTAAACATGCTAATGATAAAAAGGCCTAAGTTTAGCATCTTTAGTCAGTACTACTGACATTAGGACATATCCTTTAAAGGATAGGAAGCACAGTGGACCATAGGACAAGAAGGACATTCTTAAAGATATTATGCATTTTCAAGCATAATACATGAATAAAACTATCATATCGGATTTTTTCACGAATTTATTTTAATCTTTGGGAGAGACTGGTCTCTCACGTGAACATGATCGCTTTAAAGCATTCGTAATGTCGGGAACCAAAAATCCGAAAAGATAATTTTATTAAAAAAATATCAAATATTCGCGTAACTCTAAGAAAGTATTATATAATTCATGAATTGACTCGTCAAAATATGATTAAAAGATCACGCTTAGTCTGTTGGTCCATGGCCATATTATAGGATTGTGCCAACTACTCAAAATCTTCTAAAGATGGATCCATTAGGATGCTATTGAATTCAAATCCAACTATACTTCGTATATTAGTGGTTTCGTGCAGTTTTCCTAATCGTGCCACTTTTCCTAAGTCACCGCCACCTCAGATACATCCAACCTACCTTAAGAAATCCGATGAGACACGGCTGCGGACTTGCATTGAGCAAGCGCTCGAGCCTATCGCAGAACTCCTCAGGCTCCACCTGAGCATCTATCAACTCCTGTATGAGATTTCTCACGCTTTCTTCCACAGATTTAGGTTCTTTACTAGAAAGGTCCAGTAGATTCGCAAGGAAGTTTCTGCATTTCTCCTTCGTATTGTCTAGGGGTTTCTGGGTAATAGAAGTTTATCATAAATTATTGGGTTACCGGCGACTCACCCTCGCTTTGCTCGGGTTCGTCCCTAGGTACGTTCTAATCTTTTTGAGCGGAACCCTAATTCTTCTTCTAAAATAAAAGTAGCCTATGTTACTCCATATAACATCAGCTATCTTCCAGTGACAGTCCCGTAGAAATCAGTCCAGCCGTTTCAGAAATTATCCGGAACAGACAGACAAAAATTTTAAAAATTGTGTTTTTCTTATAAGTATATAATTTCATATGCATTTAGTAAAACGGTGTTATTTTGACATTACAAACAGACACTTCAATTTTATTTATCTGTATAGATGTGTATGATCTTTCTTAAAAGCTACTCGCTCGTGCATTATTATTAACTTTTAGTATTGTAATTTTTCTTCCTATATTATTTTTCGTTATTTTACTAAAGCCATTATTATAACTACATTATTTTTCGTTATTATACTATTCCGCGCATGTTTGTATCTCAATCTAACTATGTATTTCAGCCCTTTTTAACGTCTTGCTGGGCACGGGCCTTCCTTTAATACGAGGGGGATCAGGCCCTAGTCCTCCACGCTGGCCAAGTGCGTGTTGGCAGACTGCACATGTCTTTCGACAACTTGTTAGGTTCTCTCAGACATCCTGATTTTCTCACGACGGTTTCTTTATATGTTTTGTTTTTATGTGTTTTGCTCGGTTTTCCAAGCGAGCGCATTACCCTTAGTCTAGCTATAACAATCTAAATACGAACCGCGTGTATATATAATCAATGAAAAATATCAATACAAAAAAACAATTGAACACCACAGAACTTTGATAAAATTTCTGAAACTAAAAGGTGTTTCGGCATGATAAGATAATCAGATTCGAAAAAAATATAAAAGATACTCTTATTTAAAATGACTTATATTCGCGTAAATGTAAAAAAGTATTATGTAATGAAACAAACTTTTTTTATGTTAGTAATAAACTAACGATCTAATGATCTTAAGGTCTCAATGTCGTGAATATCGCGCTTCAAACAACTCGAACGTTAAATCTGATGTCATATTTTTAAAAACTAAATAAAATACGAAACTGTGCAATCAAACAGTGTAAAGTTATGGTATTTTGGAATATACCTACTCTCTCACAGGGAAACAATAGTAACAGCTAGAAGCCAAATAGTGCAATTGGCAGTCTCCATGACACAACATATAAAAAATGGCAGTAAACATTTAATATTTTTATATAATGGTAACTGCATTTAGGTTCAAATAATATTTGGGAGGTCTGTTCCCAAAACAAACATAGCTAATAATTACGGAGAAAAGCAACATATACACCAATTAACACTGAAACTAAATTGCAGAGTTTGACGAAAGACGAACTTTATTTTTAATCAATTTATGTATATAAAGATATAAAATAATTAAATAACCACTAAAATGATAGTTATTCAATATTTATCTGATAAGTTATGAAAAATTCCATAGTAAATGGCAATTTAGTTGGCGGCAAAGTCGCATTTTACGTTACTGTAGCAATCAGGTGCATCATTAATAGGTATGGTAAAATGCAGTACCTCATTATATCATAAAAAATATTTTTTATTACTATTATATGAATGGTATATGCATAATATATAATAAAAGTAAAAAATAGCATCTTTCAAAAAAAATATATTAATAAAAGTCTGTCTCTATCAGTAAATACCTACCATAATTTAAATAAATACTGTTTTAATTCTAGTGCTACTGTAAAATTTTACTATTTGTAACTGTACATTATGCGACTATTATATTTAGTACATGCAAGTTTTGACCATACGTAGGATTTTTTTGATTGTTGTTTCTCTGGCGTAGGAAGAGAGATACATCAAAACAAATGTACTATAATAGTCCTTTTCACCTTACAAGATTTCTGTGACAATTTCGACAGTTTTAGAGATGTCGTAAAGTGCAATCGTATCGATTTTTTCTGAGAAAAGAATTCACTTTATAAGAAAATGAAATCGATTTCATTACATAAAGTAACTAAACTTTAAATATTAATCAGTTATGTGTATTGTATTAAAACTTTATTGTTTATAAAGACATCACATGGTAAAGTACCTACATGGTAAAATAAAACAGAATTAAAAATACTAAATTGTTTATTCAGTTTCTGAAAAGTTATCAGCATTGTCAGAAACTTGAAGAGTCATCACCAACATGTATTATTAGTTGGTCTTTCAATCGGTCTATTGCAATATACCGCTCCCAGTCTTTGTCAAGCGATCACGAAATGGCTGCCGATTACGAGTGTCCCAGCTCTGTTAACACACCGGTCCATTACACGAATTGCGTAGTTAATAAATAAAATGGTTTTTATTTTGTATTATAGTAAATTAAACCAAACGATACTGTTTTTGTTTTGTATGATTAATAACTTGAATTTTTATATTTTTGCATTAATAACAGGGCAATAAAATTAAAATTTTATAAAAAAAAATATATTAATTTACAAACATATAATGCGTAATTCGGAACTCATGTAACTTGAAAAGAACTTTAGTAGGTCTTATCAAGGCGTGCATAAAAGTTCGCAATAGTACTTGTCTATCTTTTAAGGTACGTTGAAAGAACTGAGGACACTCGCAATACCTATCCCTTTTATTCCATTAATATTATAAATGCGAAAGTTTGGATGGATGTTTGTTACTCAAACGCTTAGATGAAATTTGGCACAGAGATAGTTTACAGTCTGGAATAGTACATAGGTTACTTTTTATCCCGGAAAAGCGTACTGTTCCCGTGGGATAGATTTGTTTTTTTTGCACAGAGACTCGACTAACGTGTCACACAAAGTACTTAGGCAACATAGGGAAAATAACAATATTTTATATGATTATAGACAAGGATAATCATAAAGATAAGCCATTTAGTCTCCGGGAGATCTATTGACAAAAAAATTAAATTCCTTTTATTAAATGACATCGCATCATTTAAAAGTTAGTTAATATTATTTATGAATATATATATCAGAGAAAATTTTTAATTCTCTATAGTACCTACATCATATTATTCTCGCAATTAAAGCTTCCATTGTTTATACGAAGAAATATTTTTTGTTAGGTCCAATAAATTGTGTTGAATTTATATATAATACCTAAATAATATATCTTTAAGTTACTTTTTTGTAGGTGAGTATGATACAAATAGTTTTTTTTTATTCTGTTCAATGAAAGTATACGCCATCTTATTAGAAATACTCTCTATTTCTATATTCAATCAGAATTAGTGGAACAATAATTTTAATTTCAAAATATTGAAGCTGTAAATATATTTCTCAAATTCATTATGTAATAAAACGTAACGTTTATAAGGAATGTTTGTAATGGAAATAAATTTTATTTTAAAACTTAATTAATGTAAATTAATAACAAGTATATTGTACATATATTAATAACTTTAGAAGAATCCCTATAGACATTTGTCAAACATGCGATGGCACATAACGCACGTATTAACATACGCGGAGACTTGCGTCGAGATTTAACTTTGTACTTATAGCTAAGTAATTTAATTACAGACTAACCTGAGTGGTAACAGTTGGCTGCGAGAGAGACGGTGAAGGGACGGAGGCCACAGAGGCGGCCGGTACTGGCGTAGCCACCGGCCCAGCGGGCATCTGCCCTGCCATTTGGCCTGGTGTAGCAACACTTGTCGAAACAGTCGCCACGCCCGGGTGCTGATCGGAAGAAACGACACATCTTAATTTAGGTTTCTTTATAATTGATTCATACTATGAGACCGCTTTGGATAACTTCTTTTGGAACCTTTAAACTGAGTCATAATGAAGTGTAAAGAGATATTTTGTAAGAATTTTATCGAACTTAGAACATATCAACAGATTTTAAAATAAGGTCTTATAGTATGAATCACTTCGGGGACAACTAATCGAAAAATCCGTGCGTAAATCATTAACCCTATGAATAAGTCGCAATCATTATCACCATAAACGCTTATAATCATCAATTATTAAAAAAAAGTTAAAAAAAGCTAAGTTAAATATTAGAAAATAGGTTAGAAAACTGATAAAAACATATCTGTTGTCCTAAACTTATATTACTCTAAGGCTGGAAAGTGTAGGTACATTATATGCACGTTTCGTCGATAGTAGAGCATTCTCGAAAATAATTTGGAATATGAAATTTTTGTTATTCTATAATGCCAATCCAAAATTACCGCATGCATTTTATATAGCATAATGTATAAAAACAAATCTATTGTAGATTAAAATTTTAAACTCTAATTAACAATGTAATAACAACACTAAAATGCCAATTGAAAAAAGCACGAACGTTTGCTCTATCTGATCACATATTTTACCTTGTATACGATGGATGTAATGCCAGCACGCAATGCTTTATAGCGCCGAAGACCTTTACTCACTAAAGAACAATTTCACTAAACTAAAACTTCACTATTTTGTGACATTTTAACTTACGTATTTATTTTCTATCTGTTTTTATATTTTAAAAAATATTTGAAAAGCCAAACTAATACGTATGAAATCAACTACAACGTATCAAAAATTACATACAAACATTTGAAACACTACATGCAGTACTGCATACACACGTGCACAAAACAAGCGACAGCAGACAGTCGAACATCACTAATCACTAATATACTAAATAGATTAAAATAAGGATACATTTTAAAATAAAGAACGCTAAATAATCGTACGTTGTATATTACAGTATATAATTATTGATATTATAATTTAAATAATAATAATAATATATATGTACATATATATATATATATATATATATATATATATATATATATATATATGTATGTATGTATATATATAAACTGTTTTTATATTTTACCCTCTTATGTTCTAAGTGAACTCCTACAATATTGTAAGTAAACGTGGGAAAATGGTACGCAATTTCCGAAATATTTTCATCACTTAATATTACACATCAAGAACGTTACACAAGTGTTTAACTTCCACAAAACTATATAATAAAGCTTGTTATATATAAGATTCAGTTGAAATGATCGAGGAAACAGTATGCAGGAATAAAAATGATTACTTAGTGATTTGGTCGAATTACACCTTTATCTGGTTTCAAAGCCTCACATTCACACATTATAAGCTACCTTTGCAAATCAATTGTTTTTCATGAAACTATTGTATTAAATATAATATGTAGTATTGTTAAATTTTTACTTTAAATTGTAGCGTAATGCTTACTTAACATGCGTGCGAGCCGGTTTCCCTATAACAAAGCGGTCTATGCGAAGCTGTGATTTCGGGATATGATTCTTGGTCCGTTAACCGTCCTCCGAGAAAGTGTATGTTAATCTATGATTATTGCCAAAAACAAAGACGACGAACATCAAGATCGATAGCGGAAAATATCTCATTCAATTAAAAAAGAAAACTGACAATTTTAATTCGCTCCAAGCTCGATATTCGCGTGATTATTAAAACACTAGTTTATTAGTAAAGTACCAATGAGGGGAACGAGTTCCGTTCTTACCTTGTTAATTACCTTAACATGCACCGCCACCCTATTGTACATGCACGAAATATAAATCGAACAAATAGTAAAGGCCATCGCGAAGGACCTCTCGTTGGACAAGTGTTGATGAACTTACAGCCGGCACAGTCGAGAGCCGGAGCGTCTGCTGGGGCGCCGTGAGGGTGCTGGCGGGCGCCGGCCCAACCCTCAACAGCTGGTACTGACCGTTCTCAGTCTTTAACAACAAATGACCTTGCTGCCCTTGTTGTAGACTTTGCAGTGTTTGCAGCGTTATCTAAAAATGAACGCGACGTTTCAATTTTTACTATATGACTCTACGACCGATGGATGGATGAAGCGAGTGTTAATATTATGGCGGTGAGTGTTGGGTTAGCTGTGATGTGGGTATGTTATGTATCGAAGCGTGTCGGTGTTACATGGAACTTGTTATTTGTTACAATAAGCGTAATATTTACAGTATAACACTCCGCTTAAAATAATATACTTCGCAATATTACAAGTCGATTTTAAACTGCAAAAACTATCAAATTATTGAGTAAGTTCTTAAGCATACATGGTGTGTGGCCATCTTAAGTTAAATTTTCTTTCATGATTTGAGACAATAATTACAGACTTAATAAAAAAATAGAATAGCTATAAGTACAGTCTGATCACAACAAAAAAAGTTTCAGTACTAATTAATTTAAATTTTAAACTATAGAAATGAAACCATATCTCAGTTATGCGATACAATATAGAATGTATGCAATAAAAGATAAATATAAATTATATTTTAGGGCTTTTATATTATTAAAAATATAATTAAATAATAGCTGGTTTCACTTTTTAAGTTGAATCATCAGACTGCACATGACAGTGTTGTTGGAAACATACCAATAGTGTAAATGATCAAATTCGATAATAAACTAAACCTATAAACAAGTTGCTATAATACAGATTTCTTCGTCACATACTTTGCCTTGCAGAGAGAGTACATTGACTAGCAAATAGATTGCAATTAATTCCAAAACACTCCTAAAAGCAACTAAGTTTTATATCATAATCTTTTCAATCAAATCAACAATGATATAAAACAAGTTAAGTACTTTAATAACCTAAAAATTACAGCAAATAAAATTAATTTCAAATAATCAATCTATACTTATTTAGTTATAGACTAGGAATTCTTGATGATTATCAATTATTATTATTGTACAAAATAAGCTACAAACAATGGCTAATGTTTAATTAAAATGTTGTACCACTTATGTTTTTTATAAATAAATACATTATTTATGATAATTTAAAATAATATAGTGATATCAGTCATTAGACTAATATTTTTATGTTTAATTAACATATTATCATAAAGTCTATACAAATTTAAGTTTTAGAATTCTCTATCATTTTCTTGTACCCTAACTATTACAAATATATATAAAATACTTAATAAATATATGCAAGTTTATGAATCCTCAACATAAACTGTCTTAAATATTTAACTGAAAACAGATTCAATTACATATCATATTAATTATAATAATAATTTCATCAGTAGATGACTTATCTAAAATAATAGTTATAAGAATGAAAGAAACCCACATAAAATTAAACTTATTAAAGGAATGTTAAAATGATACATGAAAATAGATGCACCACACATGCATAAGTATATTATAGAACAAGTATTTACTAACACCTTTTTGTAATGGAATGATTAGTCTAACATTGCTTTGAAAGCATCAGGGTAATTAAATAATGCAGCTTACAAAAGCAATACAATTGGCAATTGTATATTGCACAATCTTCATATTATTAATTGATTGTTAGTCTATAATGTCATAATAATTATGACATGTCCATACATAAATACAAGCCTTATGTATTTTGTGCAATAGACTTTGTGAGACCCATACATAAACTGTCATCTGATCACTTATTTTACCTTGTATATGATGGATGTAATGCAAGTACGCAATGCTTTATAGCGCTGAAGACCTTTACTCACTAAAAAATATTTCACTAAACTAAAACTTCACTATTTTGTGAAATTTTGACTTAAGTATTTATCTGTTTTTACATTTTAAAAAATCTTTTAAAAGAACAAACTAATTTGTATGAAATCAACTGAACATGAAAGCAATAAACATTTGAATAAGGAAATAAGCAGCATTCTTTTTTATTGTGACTTCTGCTATGGCTTTGATTTGAATGCATAGCTCTTCTACCTATAACTACAATATAACCTATATATAAAATGTATATATACTACCTATAACTATTTATGATCATCAAAATTAGAATTTCTAGTAAATAACACAATATATAGCAGCATTAAGTCAATTCAAAATAAGTATACTTTAAATATAATGCACTGCAATTAACAAAGGTTTATTGTAAAATCAACTAGATATATATAAGTGTGTATATACTGTTACTTTGGGTCTAATACATACATTAATCAAATGAAATGCACCCCCTTAACATATAAAAAAGTCACTATACTTATCAAAGCAATAATTACACATAATTTATTTAAAAATAATAATTATTTAAAGTAATTTCTCAAAATGATAGAAATGTGACAAGCTTGTCAAACCTTTGCTAGTCTATGAAAGTTTTAGGGATGTATAATAAGTATACAAATAAAAATCAATACCAATGAGTGTTTATTATAAATGCATTCAATTCATCAGTCAGCAAGCTGCTAACCATTAGTAAAATTCAATTATTTATATATTATGGTAAGTTGCAAGCTATAATTAGAGTTAAATAATCATTATAGGTTAGATAATATAAAGGTTATATCTATCAATATTTATTTAGATGCTGCATAAAGCTAGCAATGAATAAGTAGTTATTAAATGATATTGATATTTATAAATTAACATATTTATAATCGTTTTTTTAGAAATATGCTGCTTTATTTATGTAATTAATTCCACATAATATTATGAGTCTTGATACACTCTAGCTAAACAAGCTATTAAAATTTTATCTAATATATATGATGAATGAAAAGAGTGCACATTTTAGAGATCAAAAAACAATGACAAATTCGCAATAGCTGATCAATGCAATAAAGCATTACAGGCATAATAATATTAACTTTTATAGGTGTTTTTTCTGTACATATAAAAGGAGAAACAACAATAAACGACACATCATAATAAATTTTAATTTATAAATGTTAAATTATTAAATATAAAAGTAATATCATTTAATTTACAAGATTTGACTCATATCTAATTCTTTAAAAGTATAGAATTTCAAACATATTTTTATTTATTTATCAATAAAGACTAATTGTAGTTTTGCAAGTAAAAAGACAGTTATTTACAAAGAACCATATGATTTTTATATACTATGATTAGTAAGGTTGTTATAAATGGCTATATAAATTTGGAAAGTAACAACTGAAGTAATATATTTGTTTAGTTATGGGTCTCACAGAATTATATACATTATATGTTTAACCACAGCATGAGGTGCTTACTATACAACATCAATAAATTTGAAACTTACTCCAGGAGCGGCAGCTCTCGTCCCAACCACCTGTGGAGTTCCAATCACAACTCGAGGTGATACTGTTGCAACTGACTTTTGTGCTGCGACATTTGGTGCACCCGGGCGCATATTCAAAATCTGCACATTAGGTAACATAGCAGGTTGCGCTGATCCTAAATTCTGTGTTGTAACTACAACATTCTGTCCACCAGGTTTATTTATCGTCATAACATTCGGTATAGAACCAGACATGCTAGAATTCACTGTCATAGGAACTGTAACCATACCAGGTTGCATGCCCACTTGACCTGATGACGTTCCTTGTTTGATAACCAAGGGTGGTTGCATAGTAATTGTTTTAATCCCTGAATGAGGACCAATACTGTTTCCCTGCACTGTGTGTACAATTTGAGCTTGTGATGAAGATAAACTAACACAACCGTTCGCAAGAGACTGAGTTGAAAACTTTAGACTATTTTCTGATAATGTTTGTGGCTGGGAACTAATTATTTTTAACGGTCCACAGTTAGAAACACTTTGAGATAGATTTGTTTGTGTTACAAATGATGACGGTACACTAAAAGATGCACTGGAAACAACAGATGACTGAAAATTCCCAACAGCTATTTCACCATCACTTTGGTCCTTGTTATATTTTTGTCCAATAATGGTATTTTCACTTGTTGTAATGCTAATTTGATTTGGAATAACATTTACTAAATTGTTCTGTGACGTTATTGACGGGACCGACGTCACTAAATGATTTTCAAGGGAACCCACGATCGCGTTTACAGCATTCTCATCAACGTCTGTAGACAAAGCTTGTTCTAAAAACTCGGCTGACGCCATTTTATACGAATCAGCGGATGTAGCTAGTGATGTACCTATCCCCAAAAACCGAAATTACTTATTTTTTAACTACAACAAACAATTTAATTAATATTTCTGTATTAAATTCTACTAAATTTTATAAGGGCTTAAAATAATACATGTTATATAATATTTATAAGAACTTGTCTACATGGATCAATTCATTTGACCATAGACAATAATCTCAGTAATATATTTTATTTTATTGACATTATTTTATGTCATTTTACGGTTGCAATCATATTTATCAATCTCTTTATTTTAAACAATAAATACATTAGAATATAAAAGTAACAATAAATGAAAAATGATAAAAATTATCTCTACTTTAATATTTAAATAATTATTTTAATGATTCTTCGCAATCGATTGTATTAAATATTTAGTTATGTCTTTTATAAGAAAAAATAAAGAAAAAAAAATACACATACTTTATTCGCAATTCGTTTTATTTTTGAAACAATTTTTATTAGATTTTTATCAGTAAGTATGGAATAGATAGACTTTTTTTAAGAAAAAAAATGGGCATGTTGTTGCTTCTTATTACGAAATGAGTCTCTTGTTCAAGGAAATTTGAGATAGAAATATTGAGTTAATTTTTTACATCATATTTAATGATAGTTAATTATTTACGATAACTTATTTGTTATAGACCATTAATTTTATTAAAGCATGTTATTATATTATGATGGCAGAAAGAATGTTATTCTTAGAAAAGTTTAAAAAAGCGGCCAGTAAAAAAAGAAGATGAAGATTAACAGAATTTAATGGCTATGGAACAAGAAGGTCACCTCCCTATAATTTTTATATATTTTGAACTATTTAAGTATTAAAAATATTTTACCTTTTAGGTATCAATATACATAAATGCAGTTTGTCGTTATTTGCAAGAAGTGACGATGAAAGTATCGAAAACGATATAAATTATAATAACACATCAGGTAAGTTAAAGAAAATATTTCTGCATCCGATCAGTTGATTTTTGGTTCGATATAATTTTATTTAGATGAGTAGTTTGTCCTGTTGCGAAGTGTAAATGTAAACTACACTCACGCTAGTGGCTGGTACTAATCTTCTGGATTCCATTCCCGGGAATTACAAAAAAGTGAGTGTACTTATTCCACAACAGCTTGTTCCTCTGAGAGACAGCTGTGAAATGCATGCACAATACTGTATCTTATGGTATTTATTCTGTAAATAAATGAATGCTTATTGAATTTCAGGCAATAATTTCGAAGAAAATAAGTTTTATTTGCGACGAAGATCACCGTCCACATCGTCTTCATAGTCATTATTATTTTCTAGGTCATTTTCTCGCTCATCTTCTTGTACAAAATGTAATTCAGACGATGTCAAAAATAGAGAAATAGAAGACTGTCCTAGTCCTAGTCCTCTACAAATTATTTACGTTTTGCGATATACACTAAAATATTTATTAAGAAATTTAAAAATGCCATTCCCTAAAAATTAAAATAATCATTTTTAGTTCTGTCGTTATTCTCGCAAGCCAGCGATATATATATATATATATATATATATATATATATATATATATATATATATATATATATATATATATATATTTATTGCTCATTTAAATATATAAGACTAAAATGTAATTATTGCAAGTAAAAAATAATAACAAGCAAGCTTGTAAGGAGGACCATCTCTGTGTATTAAAAAGTGTACGTTGAAAGGAAGCAAATTAATGTGGCGCTATAGTAGCAAGTGGAAGAATTTTAAATTATTAGAGTAGGACACTAAATTAAAAAAGGAAAGAAAAATTTCCGCTTTGTTATAGCGCATTTTTTAAATTATTATAATATCCACACAAACATGAATATGGAATGAAATTATACAGTATTTTTAAGTACCCCAATTATTTGTAAATTATATTAAATTTTTCAACCCAGCACACTTCATATCATTTCTATTTCCTGCACTAGCGCTATTTCGGTGAATGTTCGAACAATAATTTGCTGTTTACAGGTGGACACTTTTTCAACTAATCCCCCATACAAGACGGTCCTCCTTACTACCACCTTCCTTATTATGTAACTCAAGATGGCTGTCATCTTAGCATGACATTTAAGAAAATAAAGTGACATAAACAAACTATACTCTATAGTGAGATGCTACGCATTTTATTTGTCATCCATGCTACGCATCTGACAAATGACATATATGATTATGACATTCGTGACATACTCGCCACTGCTCGCCACAGCTTTCCACCTTGATCAAAAACTTGTTTAGCTTTTTCCGTAAATAGTAATCTACGTCGCAATATTTTCCGCTATTTTCCACTTCGTTCTCTGCAGTGTGTGTAATTTCGACTAGGTTGAAGTTAACCGAACATGTCCATGAATAACTAGGTTAGTATTTGTTTTATAATGTTAAACTTAACTCTATTTCTATACTAGGCTAGTTTCATATTATTACATATAACTTTTACACAAACTAAGTTATGGGTCGTTAAGTTTAAATGTATACAGAATGGTTACATTTCTTTCATACAAGTAGGTAATTAAATATCTAATCTCAAGTTACAATGGGGGCGTTGCGGCAAGAAAAGTATACTCTTATGAAAATTATTGTCTCTAAGAAAAAAAAAACTAAATTACTCATGTCAATTTTGTTATAAGAACAAAACTTGTAAACAACATTATATATTCTTCAATTATATTTGGCATATAATATTTACTACTTTATACATATAATAATATTAGGCAGTCATATTTATCAGTAATATTATATATTACTAATTATTACACATGGTTGATATTTAGTGTAATTTATAATATAATATAATATTTATAAAAAATGCTATTAATTGCTAATCATATATTTTAAAGACCAAATTAATGTGCTTGCAGAATAGAATGGAGCGGTTTCCACTCAAATCATCTGTACCAAAAATGGGCACAACATATCAGTCTGTCTACAAAAAGGTACAATATCATAATTTATTCAATTGTGTAAAATATAGATTGGATATTAATAAGGGCACAAGTTTAGCATATGGGACGAGGTCCCTGGAGAAGTGGGTGGTATGTTTAGATAGTGGAGATGATAGGGAGACCAAATATGTAAAAAATATTTTGAAGAAACAATGAAGTCAAAAATTATAGATACTTTAAGTTAGAACATTTCTATATCTAAATAAGTCATTACAAAAGATAAACATTCCTTTTATTTTTATTTTTTTTTTGGCACCGACTCTGAATATATCTGATTAGGTATCTAATTTAAATGAAAACCCCTGTTTAGTTATTTTTTACATTTTTGTGCCTGGAAGTTGGTTTTATTATTTTTTTAAGTTTTTATTTTTCCATTTTTAGTGTAGAGTTGTAGATGTAATAAGCAGTCATTTGTAAGAGGAAAGTTTTTTAATAACATATTAAATTACGAAATTTATTTAAAAAAAAAAATATTCTTGATTTTTTAAAAACCCCTCTACCAATTTCGATAAAATTTAAATGGGAACACCGGGGAAGTATACCCTTCGAAACAAAAAAATAAAGTCCAAATCGGTTCAGGCATCTTCAAGTAATTGGTGAACATACATAAGAATAAAGATTACGACAAATTGAGAACCTTCTCCTTTTTGGAAGTCGGTTAGAAAAGGTAGGTTTCAAACAAACTTTTATCCCCTATTTTACCACCTTATGAATGATGAATTTTGAAAAATGCTAAAACATGAGTTATGTAACCCAACACAAAGGCTATTTAAATATCATTCTCTAAAAGTTTTTCACTATAAATTATAAAATGTATAGTCTCTTTTAAGATCCTTCTTAAAACTATCTATTATTATAAACAATGTATGTACATGTAAAACAATTGAATATAATGTCTTTTAAAAAATCCTTATCAGAAGGATTTGTTATTATAAACAATGCACATTTAAGACAATTAAGTTGTAACAAATAGCAAACAATTATGTATAAATAGTTTAAGGGTCCTTTTTTTTGTGCTGGGAACCCACACACACTACTGCACTCATGTTCCTATAAAACCATAGAAAATAAGTTAATAAAGTTAGCTGTACTTATCCTTTCGATGAGAAACATTGTTTCATTACAACCCACAGTCCCGATAACTTACATATTTATTGAATATTGAAAACCATTAATACCAATTTTCAAGTACATAATTCTGATCCATGAACGAATTAGAGACTAATTCGTTCATGTTCTGATCATAAATATTTTTTTGGGTTGTATAACGTTTTTTCCGAGGAAATGAAATAATCTCCCGCGGTAAAAAGTAGTCTATGTCACTCTCCAGACCTCCAAATATCTCCACACAAAAAATCACGTCAATGCCCAATTCGTCACTCTGTTACGACGTGAAAGAAGGACAGACAAACAAACAAACAATCAACCTTTCACATTTATAATATTAGTATGGATTTACAAGTATACTAATAAAACGTGTTAATAAAATATACTACGATTGGATATAACCACTAAACTACTGTAACGCCAATGTATGACACGCAACAAAGTCGAGCATACGATTCATTGTTGCACTATCTAGATCCTGGCACGTATTGATAGGATCCTTGCAATCCGTAATATAACTCGTATTGTTAAATATTCCCGATCTTCAAGTCAATAAACACGAGTAATTGGTCGCATTCATCTCCATCCGTTGTCAAGTCCATTACTATGTAAGACCCTCACATTTGCATAGCAAGTTATATAAATAGCTGTCTCGAACATTGAATAGATTGTTTATTTAATATGTTGTGTATTTATCTAATTTTTATATATGTAAAAATGTTATTAACGTTTCGAACTTTAAAACAAAGTTAAGAAATTGGACTTGAATAATTATATTTTGCTTAGTGTGTTTTTTGGAATTACTTTGAAAATTATTACGTATCTAAATGAGGTTCCCTAAATAGTTAAGTGAATATCGTGATAACGGTTTCATGAAGACAAAAATATTATTCGATGTAATTAAAAAGAATGCGAAGAAGATACCTATTTGGTCTACGCAAATTTTCATCATAAGTACCTACGCGAATATACTTTTATAAACTTTATAATATAGTGTAGATGATTCATTCGTTATTCCTCAAATCACTAATTAACATGCTCCTTGCACTACTGCGACGAGTGAGTGTTATTAAACAATTGTTCAATTAACGCTAAAAGTAATCTTAAAACAGGTTCTAAGCTGCATTTCTATTAATGTTAAATATCTTTGCATAACTGCTTTTTAATGTAGCGAATTAGAATATAGCAAAAGGTGTTCTAAGTAGCGATGGGTCGTCGACGTATTTGGCGTGAACGAAACTAGACCGTTCATTTTATTTCATCGACTAGTCGATCAACTAGTTCAAATCGTGGACTATGGTTTACATTCCGATTCCGACTTCAATGTAGTTGTAGTCTGTAGACGTTAGACAGTCTATCCCATCTTTACTAGTTTATGTTGCGAGACGGAACGATTGGTGAGTGGTTAGATTAGATTTTGTTAATTCGTAATGATGACATTTTATACTTAATAAATTATTAATCTTAAAATTTACGCGCACGTCAAAATATGATCAACTAGCAAAAAAATTGTAACTGTAATAATTATGGCATTTATTTTCTACATTGACCACAACAATAGTATAATAGGCCTCATCTCACTCTGAAGCTTGCATTCAAATATCAAACCACAATAGTATACATTAGAGTTGAAATTAGTTTACATTCTGTTTTAAACGGACGACAAACGAACTCCTTGTTTACGTCTGTCTTAGTCTATGAAATGAACTAGTCCATTCGAAAAACGTGAACCGTCGAACCGTCGACGCATCGTCGACCGGTTGATTGAACTAGTCCGTTCATTCAACGCCCATCACTAGTTCTAAGCTATAACTGTTACTTATCACTATATACCTACTAGGTGACCAGACCGACAAGTAGTTAGTGTTTAAAATAAAATTTTATGAAAACAGTACGTTTTTTATATAGATAGGTAAATTTTACTCATATATATATATATATATATATATATATATATATATATATATATTAAACTGCCTCGGTGGTGTAGTGGCTAGTATGTCATCACATCACACTCGGAGGACTTGGTTCGAGTCCCGGGTCAGGCCAAGTTTAGTTATTGAGTCTTTCTGTATAGTAAGTCTCAGTAAGAGTCCTGAGTCGGTCCTGCGCCTTAACTCTCACTGGTCGTGTCGAGTGGTGGTCCCACCAGAGTATGAGAGTGACAGTAATAGAGAATGCACTTGTGTCTGCGCGTACACTTGTGCAGTATAATATTTCCTGCGTAGTTGGCTAGTCTCAATGAGATAGGCCGCCGTGGCCGGAATCGGCTAGGAGAACATCATATATATATATATATATATATATATATATATATATGAGGAATTTGCAAGATGAGTATGCGTGAAATGATATTTTAAGTATAAAAGGAGACGTATGTTAGAATTTTAAGAACGGAATGGAATGAAATAGATGAATAAAAGAAAAGAAGTGTCATAATGACGGCAAGACGAGAAGCGTTAACATTGTATTATATGATTTTAGAAAAATAAATAGTAATTAGTGTACTATAAAAGCTTTTATTGATATCCCCGGATCCTACATATATATGTATATGTATTCCTCAAATTTTCAATAATGATTATCATGGTCGAATTTCGACCATTGGGCGATCACTAGTTTATGTAAATGTTACTCGTAAAAGCGACTCAGTTGTTTTTAAATTACTAAAGTACTTAATAGGTTTGGCCGCGCGTCTCTTCGTTACATATTAATTGTGTTATCTTCCATCCCGTACCGTTATATTTCATCGGTTCTCTGTAAACGAATCAAAATCATTAAGTTCGCATAGTCACTGCTAAATGCACTTAGGGCCTAGGAGTGACTGTTGCAATGCAGTGAAATATTGCATATTTCAGCGTTAGCTTGCTTGCTTTTATGAATTTTTTATACGTGCAGATTTATTTAAAAATATTCATTGAAGTATCTATAGTGGAAAATACGGTTGAAAGTACTTTTAGAATCTTGCACTTAAAAGGTAACCTATTATATTATAATATATAAGTATTGTAATTATACTAGAGTTTTTATAACGCAATAATTCTATAAAAACAACAATATACGTTTATTAATTCAAGCTTTTATAAAGTCTCCACTGCCATTTTAAAAAATACATATTAAACAGTGTTCACACTCGGTAATCCAATTACATTCATTCAATCAAGTTCATTTTTATAGAAAATAGCTATATTATATACTAACAGACCCGGCCAAGCATTCTTTTTTCTTTATCTTGGGGGTAGAATTTGTAGCTTAGGAAGGTTGTTTCTTAAGGTGGGTACTGACCGGTGTTACGGGGCGTCATGTACCATTCGCAGCGAGCATGTTAAGTTACTCCGTATGCTAAAATCCGTGTAACATGCTCGTTTCGTTGCTCGTCCGTGCTATAGATTCGCAAGCCACTCTCAATCAAGATGTCGGACGACGAAGTTGTGTTGGGATCTTTGATTTTACTCAATTATTGTTTAGTCCAAATTAAGAAGAAAAAAAGAGAAACGTTATTGGATATCCAATTTGTTTATTTGATCACAATAATCAAAACGACTAACGTATAATCACGACTCATGTGCGCTCTTGACGATTCGCTGCGACGAACTGACTGAAGCGCGTAACACTCAAAGGATTCGCTAAAAAACTGACAGCGAAGGGAAGCACTCGCTCTCTCGGTTGCTCGTTTTCAAAAGACCCGGAAAGCTTTCCAGGTAAAACTACCAAATGACTGGGCCTAGCGTCAAGTAGAGATTCAATCCCGGAGTGCAAGGTATTTAGCTATAAATTAGTCGTTTTGGCATTTTATGTATTGTTTTAAAAATCTCATAAAATCTAACGTCTATGTCATACGTTATCAAAGGCTTTCTACAAATTTTAATTTCAACCGTTTACGT